TTGAATAGCGATATTTCTTCAACCGAGAAAGATTGAGCAAATGTTCGCGGTAGATTTTTAGATATAAGATTCAAGAGTAGTTTAGTCGAAAAAAATAACCAAAATATGCTAGCAAATTTTACACCGGGGTTTTTAAACGAGGAGTGGTTAAAATGCTAAAATTTGGCCTTCTGAGGTTGATTCTCGCAACGTGATTGGTGTATTGCCTGGAGGATTCCCAAGAAGGGGACCTCGCCAACAACCAATCAAGATTTGTCCGCTATGCTACAATCACTGCCAAAAGTCTTGGAAGGGTTGCCAGGTTCGGGATTTTATCCCGAGATCTCGGGAATATTCAGAGCTGTTGGGATTTTTCTCGGGAATTTTTTTCGGTGAAAAAATCTCGGGAAAATTCTCGGGATTTTTAGAGAATGGATTAGAAAAGTTTTTCAGAATAGATTTGTTAGTAACAAAGCATTCATACGAGAATAAGAGCGGCACATTTCATCCACACTTTGCTAGTGGCAAGCCCCACTACAGACACATTAGTCCGTGTGGATAGCAGTCTTCAAAGGAGAGGTGAAGATTGCTGTAATTTCAAAGTCACCCATGCTATGAAAAGGAAATTCATCACAGAAAGAATTTATAGAGTCAATGCAGACGATGACTTTGTTCTTGGTGATGGACTTCTCGAATAGAAACTGCTAAAATACCCTAAAAATATCGAACTTTATTCAGTTACATTGTTATGTTATTTAATAAATTTTATCTTTTATCTTCAGTGTCATCAGTTTACTTAGGATTGACAGCTATTGTCGTCTAAAATGGTCTCCTTTTGTTTCTTGTCACGCAACTGAAATAAAAATGTCAAGAAAAATTTTAACTCCTTTGTCAATGCTTTGGTCCGTACAATTACAATGTTGCACAAGATAGAGAAGTTGAAAAGTCGTTGCACAGAGGTCAAAATTTTGTCCCTGTGGTAAATGACGTCATCAGAACATCACAAAAAAAATCTCGGGATTTTTTGAGAAAATCTATTGCATTCTGGGATTTTTTATGTCTTGATGCGGGATTTTTATAGATTTCAATCTGGCAACCAATTCCAAGTTGGAACACTAACGTAGGTTTTCAAAGTCAAATTCAGCCATCCCCTTCTCCCCCTAGGAACAATGTTGATTTACTATAGAGAAAAGACAGGGGTTATGGAGTACGCTTTTTCTTGTATATTGTTTGATATTTTTCTATACTTTCAACATTGTTTTGGGGGGAAAGGGGGGCGGAAGTGGTAGTATTCAACAAAACAAATGAAAAATAGAAGAGCACAACGCAAAGTGTTAGGTGTTCCAAATAATTTTGGCAGTGATCGTAGGTTACTGGCAGCTTGCAGCTGATGTGGTAATATATGACCATAAACCCTCAAAGAAGAAAGCCTGTGGACGTATCCGAGGGGGTAGTTATTGGGGATGGGATGGGGTGTTTAAAATTGGGGAATTGGTGCATCAAAAAAGGGGGGACGGTAAGCTAAAAAGATAAAGAGAAGTTGGACTTGTTGTCTAGGCATTTTACAAAGCTTTTGATGGTGATGATGAAGCTGGTGATCAATTTGATTGAAGGAAAGATAATCACAAATATTTTGAAATTCTAGTTACAAAACCTGACAGTACCAAGGTGCTGGGTGTAAATATAACAACATTTGTAATATGCCTAAGATAGAATTCCTTTTTGCTTTTTTGCCATTTACCAAAGATGGAATTATTGTTGACCCTTAACTTTTATTGTTATTATGTACACATTTTTGTTTAGCACCCAAAAAACCAAGGAAGCGACTTTCTTTGCAACACAACCATTTCTTCTTGTTACTATTAATTTGCTAAATACATAACAAAAATCAAGTTACCTTAGCAAACAAACAAAATGAATAATACAAGTGAAGGCTAGTTACAATGACAAAGTTAAAATATGTCTATTAGTTCAGCATCTTCCCAATGGCAGATTTAAGGGGGAGCAACCAGGGGCTCTCTCAAGTTCCACTGAGTTTCTGTCTACTCTTTCCAATATTTTGTTCAAGTTTTCTCCATTGATTTTCATCTCTCCCATCTTCTTTCAGCATCATTTGCCTGTCACTCCCACTGCACCATCAATCAATTTTTTCTGTGGTCTACATTCTCTACTGACCCCTTCACACCTTGCCAAAATCAGATTCTTTTCTAAACTGTTTACCTTTCTCATTATATAATCAAAGTAAGTCAGTCTGAGCTTTATTATATTATGCACTTCTAAAATAAACTTCTATCAATCAACTAAGGGCAGTTGCACAAAAACTGTTACGTTGTAGGGGTGGCTGGAATCTGCACTCAAACATATACAGCAAACTAAGATTTAGGTACAAGGAAATACTTTGAAAATATTCATAAACCTATTTAAGAATTTTGTCCCTCAGTTTTATCTGTTTTGAACTTGAATGACCAGGGCATGACCACTGTAACGGTCTTGCAAATTCTATGGACACACTTTGAATAAGATATGAAAAAACAATATCAACAGAAAAATTATACACAGTAAAAATTATTGTCCACAAATATTATGGAAAACAACAGTTTTCGCCTCTAAAATTCAGGCACTTTTTTAGCCGTATTTAGGTAAAATGTTCACAAGTGATCCTTAAATTGTCCATAAATTAAGCAGCAATGCCAAAAATCATTCTTATGGATTTTATCCCTAATTCAATCATAAAATGTATGGCCATTTTAAGAGTTGTGACAGTCACTTGAATATTTTCAGATCATCTCTAATATTTCCGATTGTTTAAAAGTGCTAGATAAAAGGGGTATTGTCCAAAAATTAGAGGCACATAGGAATTGTGATTTATTAATAGCTCGAAATTTCACACGAAACTGTTTCGCATGAATTTGGTGATATTGTCCCTAATTAATAGGGATTAAGCAATAAAATTTAAGAACTGGGGAAAAATATTTTATGGATAAAACAGAAAACTTCTCAACATATTGTTTTGGTTTAAGATTTTCAGAATTTAGGGGCAATACAATTTGGGAATTGTAAACAAATTATTTGCCGGAAAATCAGTGGTGCCATGACCCGTTGGGTAACCTTAGCACAAAAATTCTCCATTTCTTCCATTCGTGTACAAAAATTTATTGAAGAATTTATATTATTGCCCCCAACTTAGAAGTCTATTTTTAAGCTTTGGACAGAATCGTGATTGCACAGCTTTTGAAACTTCACTTAAGGCCTGAATTGTTGCCAAAAAATTAATTGTAATTGAGTTATTCCTTACTAAAAGAAACCAGAAATATTCTGATCAATTAATCATTCAATCACTTAATCAAAATCTAAAATATTTTCTAAATATTTTTGGACATTAACAAATTTTAAATTTTGGCTAACAAGCTAACTGGGGGGGGGGGGCACAGCGAAAAAAGTGTGTACCTAAAGTTAAATTAGAGTATACAACATGAAATGCCAGTCTAATTATAAAAACATAAAAACCCTGTCTACAACTGCACACTTTTGGCACCCAAAACATCTGTTGGTTGTAACAACACCAACAGCATTAGATTTATCAGGCCCCTCCTGCCCCAAAATTAATTTTGATTGATTGACCAAATTATTTGTCGCACGCTATGCTGACTTTGATATGTTTAGAAAGGTGTTCAGTCACTTAATGGCTTGTTCTTAGGATGTTCTTGGGGTGTTAAGCCTGTGCTTGTGTTCAGCCTTTTAGAAACAACGCTTATTGAATGTGTTATTTTACAGTGCGAATTTTTGGAATTATGAAGTTGCTGTTTCTCAATTCATAAGAAGTCTTTTATTGCAAAAATTTCCTCTGTATAGTGTGGAGCAAACCTTTTTTAACTTTATACTAGAATATGACAATGTCCTGAAGTTGTCTATCCTGGAGAGATTGCAGGTTTTCTTTCATCAGGAGTTGTGCATTATGACATGGACTTATCACAATAAACAAATATTAGGGCTTTTTCTTGGATTCTCTCTACCTTTCTATTATCTGCTGTTTTGCAGAAGTGTCAGACTGTACTGCAGTATGTCAAGTGAGAGAGAACTACTGAGTTGTAGATTGTTAGTTACCCATGGGTGTGCATTATACAAAATGTCTCAAGCTACTTGTTATTGAGATTAATAATGTCAGCAAGTTGTGTAAGAGAGAGAGAGAGAACTAGCTACACAGGATGAATAAAAATATCAAGACAAACATGTTACTTAGTGGGAAAGAGCAAATTTTGCTGATGTTGGCAAATTTCTAAAAATAATTTTTAAACTATTTTGAAGAACAGCAATGTGTCTTAGGATTCTCATTATTCAAGCGTTGAATACAGTGGGTCCTCAAATTTGCAAACCAAAGATTATATATGTGCTTGTATCCAGTTATAGTGAGGGAAAGCACCATATTTTCCATCATTTTCTTGATAAAGTTGTTGGTTGACCCTTCAAAATCCTGTCACTGTTAGTACTTGATTTTTACAACAACCCTTCAGAATCTTTGGTTACAGTATTGGTAAATTCATTCTGTTATGCTCTTATCTTAGTGCTTATTTCTTGTTATTTGATTCCTGGAAATGCTCATTGGTTAGATACACTTATCTATGGTAAATTTTTACACATTTAACTATTACACACAAAAAATATAAACAAAATTTGATGAAAGACTACCAGAGTTGCAGATGTTGCATTTTTGCCTTAAAACTCTTAACTGTTGCATGAAGCAAGAAACAGTACCAAGGGACTTGCGTGTTTTGTATTGAAATGTCTTGGAATATGACCTATTAATGCATGCCTGATGCTTTTAACTAAGAAATATAATTATTTAAGCAATGTGAGAGGTATTTAGTCTTTTGTGTACTTATTTGCAGTATTTACAATACAATGAAGTTTTAGAAAAAATTCTATATTTGTTTGCTTCTTCTCTAAAAGGTATGATTGCAAGGTTTTGATTACTTTCAATATTTCTTTACAGCAAAGCATATTTACTATTTTTCTTTGCACAGCTCTTATAACTCTATCGGAAAGTTTTGCTCATCTAACATGCGGTCAAGCAAGCCATTCACTATGTTTTCAAATGACGGATATGCAAAGATCCGATTCAAGTCTGACAGCTCGAACACACGAACTGGATTTTCATTGACGTACCAGCTGAAAAGCAAGTCCTATTACCCACTTGGTGGATTTTTAACCTCGACGTGCTAGTAAGTCTTTCATGTTGTTTGCATCTGTAATTCTTTAATCAAAAGAAATTATCTAAGCTTAAAATCACCTATTTAATCGTTTAAACATATGTAATCATATGATAAGCCTATACCTGCTTCCTTTTTTTAGTGCATTGCAGTGGCAGATTAATAAAAGATTCAAAGGTTGGCGTTATTACTGATTTTGCCATGTGTTAAAAATCCTAGATTCATCCCAGGGGGCTTGTAATTGTGGCCATTCCAGAATGGGGGATCTTTTTTTCAAAATCTGTAAAAAAAATATCTGATTTATCATTGACAACTGTCATGTGTCTTGTTCTGTGGTAATTCGATTAAGCCGCCTACAAGGCGTCTCAATATAAAAACTAGTAAAGTGGGTTGGGAGCTTTTTCAATGGTGGGGGGGGGGAGCGTTTGCTCTTATTGCCACTCGACCTAAAATAGGCAGAGCTGTACATGTTATTGACAGTTGAAAGGTGTTACTCAAAGTTTCGCACCCAATTTAGTTATCAAGCATCTGTTCTCATAGGCATAATAAACCTTTTATTATGCTTTTGAGAGCAGACGTGCCTATAAGGTTGCCTATCGGGATTCAACGGTTTTTGTTTGTTTGTAACCTTTTTCTAATTCGATATTTTTTCTAGCTATACATATATATATATGGATATTTACACATACAACTAATCTAAATCGAATCTACTGTATAACAAATGAAGGGGATATAACTAAGGAAATAAATACGTAGATACATAAGCTAAATATTTGAAGCAACATGGATATGAATGGACAAATATTACAGGATATCGATATCATTATATTTGCAAACGTTGCATTTACAGCTAGGACCATCCCATCATGTTATTATACGTTTGAAGCTGTTAAGATTGTCAGCTAATTTTAGTTCATTTGGCAGACAGTTCCAGATCTGAGGTCCTATGGCTTTAAGGCTCTTGGAACCGAAAGTTACTTGGTTTGGTCGAAAATGATTTAAGTTTTTAGGATTCCGAGAAGGATGTTTTAATGTTCTTGAACTAAAAATGCTATGCATAAAAGGTGGATTCAAATTTCTAATCGTCTTGAATATTTCGATACAGAGGGTTCTCTGACGAGCAACTTGCATTGTACACTTTTTTGACCTAGTAAGAAGATCATCATAGGAACTTTAATGATCATTTTACAAAAATCTTAGCGCGCGTTCCTGTATCCTTTCAATTTTTTGAAGTGATTTTGAAGATGAAAAATACCAAACTAAAGGACAATAGTTATAATTCGAGTATACGAAACTTTGAACCAGAACTTCTTTTTCAGCGAAACCAATAAATGACTCGAGTCGCTTAAGAACGTTCAGTTGTGCCGCAGCTTTTTTACAAAGGCCTGATATATGTGGGTCAAAGTTCAGTTTGTAATCTAGTGTTACACCTAGGAGTTTGACAGTCTCTTCAAATTTGATAGAATGTCCTTGAAAGTCAAGATTTATGCCAGAAGTATTTGTCTGGTCCTTTTTAACAAAAAGTGCATGGAATTTGTTCGGGTTCGCAATCATTTCATTTCGTTTGAGCCATGACAAAGCGCTGTTGGTTTATTTTCCAAAACCCTGACGAGATCTGGCAAGGATTTGGAAAAGAAAACAAGCGTGTTGTCATCAGCATAATTGTACATGGTTGCTTGCTTTATAAAAGGGAAAAGGTCATTTATGTAGAAATTGAAAAGAATGGGACCCAGAAAGGATCCCTGTGGGACTCCTGATACAATTTCTTGGAAGGAACTGTAGACGTTATTTATTTGGACACTCGGCTTCCGTTTTTTAAGATAGGAAAAGACAAGAACCAGGACAATTTCTTCAAAACCATATGCATGAAGTTTAGCTATAATCAAATCATGCGGGATACAATCAAAAGCTTTTGACAGGTCCATCAAAACGGACCCTAAAATAAAATTGTTGTCAAGCTTAGATTTCCACTCTTCTACAAGTTTAATCAAAACATGCTGTGTACTGTAAGCTGTTCTATAAGCTGCAATAAAAATTCAAAGAGTCTTATCAAGGAAAGGACTGAGCTGTTCCTTTAGAATTTTCTCAAAGATTTTGGAAAAAGTGTTGAGTATACTGACTGGACGATAATTTCTCTCCACTGTACGAGCGGGCTCACCTTTGTCTAAAGGGCAATCTGCAGCAGTTTTTGCATTCTGGGGGAATTTGAAATTTCGAATGCTGCAATTGATGGCAGGCACAGTCAAATCATCGCTAGCGAGAGAAACAAGTTTCGGTGGAACTTGATCAACACCTGTTGACTTAATGCCATCGAGCATTTTCAGTTGGAGCCATACCTCACTAGCAGTAACCTCATTGAAGTAAAAGATTGAAAAGTTTGCTCAGGGTCTTGAACTATAGCTAGAATACTTGGATGATCCTTGTATTTGTCAAGAATTAACCTTACAGTTTCGCGATCATCGCCAATCGAATTCGCATTGGCGATACTGGAAGGCTTCTTACCAGAAGTATTTTCGACAATATTTATGTAGTAATCATTAAAAATCTTACCTAAATCATGGTCATCAGTGACTATTTTGTCATCTTTAATCAGGGAAATATCGGTACCAGCTAGAACACCCTTATTTGAGAGAAAAGGTTTCACCAGATCCAAGAATGCTTTATTGGACATGAGGCCATTGCTTGTAACTCTCTTGAAGTGATTCTTTATGGCCTTTTTACGGAGAGCAACACAGTGATTTCGCTGCTTCTTGAAAGCTACTTCATTTTGCTTTGAACGGTGTTTATTTAATGTTCGTTTAAGCCTAGCACGTGTGTACATCGCTTTTTTCAGCTCTGGGTTCATAAAGGGTGCATTGTTTCCCCTTAGAAACGTTGTTTCTCCTTAGAGCGTGTTTGTCCACTATATTCCGGAAAGTGTTTGTCAGATGGTCGTAGGATTTATCCGGGTTAGTCTTGTCGCATTCAAATTGGGCGTGCTTTACATCGCTCAAGAAATTCTCTTGGACAAACTTTTTGTAGCTGCGATACTTTATTTGTTTCGGTTTTAACCTAGGAACAGTTGCTTTCGTAGTGGTAGCAACAAGACTATGATAGTCACTTAGACCTGTATTATGGTATTATGGTTTCGCATCAGGTATCAATTTTTCGAACTCGGGGGGAGAATTCATAATCCAAGTTGTAACATGCCATGGACAACAGCAAGTCAGTCTACGTTTACACATCATGGGCAGCGAGTTGGGCCGTTGGTCCATCGGTGCAAATCGCTGAACTCACCATAAACTTCGAAGTTTTGTTGTATGCCATTTAAAGATGCCATTCCTGTCAGTCAACTTCTCAGAGTTAGGATTGAGAAAACATTAGGAATAAGCCTTACGTTCCAGATTGGATACGTAACAATATGTTTGTCTTATGTGTTGTCCAACCAATGGGAAATTTAGATTGCCAATGGGAAGTGTCTGTAATAGCAGATATATTTACAGTAGACTGGAGAAAGATTGCAACATATCAGCATCATTCGCCCTAAATTGTTGTTTCCTTTTGTTTTCTATTAATTTCTGTTGCATGTGTTTTCAAATCGACTTTCACTGTTCTATTATAAAAAAACATTAGTTTATGAAATACCTTCTTTGTAGATAATTGTGGCAGAGACTGTAGAATGACACCAAATTGTTTTTCAGCTACACATCTGGTCAGGCAGGTGTGTTCTATTCCGCTGGCTGGCCAATCAGATATTCTTCCGGGAGCCCAGATTACTGTTACATAAGGTATAACGTCGGTAGCAACAGCTTGAAAGTTGCTGTCATGGACTTGGACCTTGGCTCATCTTCCTATTCAAATTTGCCATACTTCCAAGTGAGAGGTATGCATTCGCGCTATTCTTTCCATATTTCATGGCATTCATATTCGCCCCTAGGATCTTTCAGCTGGCATTATCAAAAAATTACCTAGCTCTCTTGTTCGAATTAACGCGTTTGAATTCAAAACTGAGCAGAAAATAATACATACAAATACGTTCAGTGCAGAAATTAATGCATTCATAAACTGAAAGAAATCAAGAAAATTGTATATATAATAAATGCTCATGTTTGTGAAAAAAAATAAAAGTTGTTTAAAAGATCGACTAAGCTTTGTCTCGCGAGCAATGTTGAGTAATCTCCTTTCTAAGCAAAAAAGACTTCGCAAAACTATTATCTAGCTAAGGATAAGAATTTGAACAGTTTGACCTCGTTCCTCTTTAAATATCATCAACATTCGCATTATACTTCAACAGACCATTTCCCTTATTTGGCTGTACTTCAGTGAGCGTCCAGTGCATTCTGTTACTTGTAGTTAAACCTGCGAACATTTCTTTATTTTCGCTACGGCGATTGAATGAAGTTCTGTAATTGTTCCTCCCTCTTTGCTCGAATTATCGTGTGACTACACTGGGTGGTTAGATTGAAGAGCGGATTACTGGAGAAGTTTTGATTGGCCAGGAAAGAACGATTATTTCGTGTTTCTTTGGGATCAAACCAGTTACTGACATGCAGTTTTTATGACATTTCTTGCTTCAGAGCTATCGAGCAGTTCAAGGCTCCCAGACTAGAGGCCAGTAATAAATGAAAATTTGCAATTTATTTAAGAGGTTTGACTGGGGATAGCTTTTGCATGAATTCACTGATTGGTAGAATTCTGTTCGTGTAAGTGTTTGGTGTGGTTCTGTCACAATCGAGGAATCTATTGGGTATTTAAAACCATCGTACAAAGCGATGAGCCAATCTTGAAAAAAACAGCATCTCTTTTAAATAAGAAACCAGGGCCACTTAGAGCCATGCTCGGCCCTGGGACCGGCACAATGCTTGATCCTCGCATTTTTTATTTACTCTTTAATTATATTCGTCAAATTTTCGAAATACAGATACGATTTGTAATTACCATGTTTTTTGGCGTCATATTTTAAAGAGAGACTACTCTGCTTTTAGGCCCATAGGCTATTGACCCCCTCTCCCCCTCTTGTCCGCCCTCTCGTTGCCATTAAATTGAAATATTTTTCAGAAAAAACTTTCATTGGCAGTGAAGGCGTTTGATTTGTATCTTTTTAGCACGAAATATAATACCAGAAAAATGTGTAACACGAAAGAATAGCAACAGAAAAACAAAAAAGCGATAAGCAAATAGCATTAATTACTTTATCAAGCACATGTATGCCCGGACGCTAGTATGCACAGAAAATTGCATTAAAAATAAGAAAGCAACTAAGAAACACATTAGGCTGAATTTATGCGAAAAGAAGTGAGGAGCGCCAGGCTGAAACTGGAGCCTTAGCACAGCAAAATCTTGCTCCGAAAAATTTTAAAAGTTTGTTTGATTACCTCCTGACTAGGGGGGAGGCTAACCAACTCTCACAGAGGGACTGTAGCCCCCCTCCCCCTCTTAGCGCTACTTCTGCGTATTTTAACAAATGTGGCTACAACTGACATGTTTTCTGCTGCTTTCAAATTCGAATTTCTTTTAATTTAGGCTCAAACAGTCGTTATTTCGAAAAATACCCCATCGCATTTGAAAGCAAAAAAAGCTTAATCACACGCTACACGATTGCAGTGAGTATAAAACTGTGTGGAACTCAGTCTCCTCGATCGTATACCACTGATTACAACTATGTGTATTTGCTCTTTAATAAACCAATCGCCACGACAGTTGGTAGAGGTTTTGTGGTTGGCTACGTCGAATATGGTGAGTGTATCATTGAATTTCAAATGCTTACTGCTAGTAAACATAAACTATTCGAAGTCACAGAGTTTGAAGTCAGTTATTGCTACTTCTACGGATTATATCCCCTTCCCTTTTTCCTTCATTTGTCCAAACCTATTTACCAGGAGCCCTCGAATTGCTCCCCTTGGGGCTTATTAGGTTAGGCAATTTTTGATAACGACTCATTCGAGGTGGGTCTTATTCTAGGAGGGTGGCCTTAATCATCTACAGGTGGTGATACAAATTTCTCTTTAATAACCTTTTCTAAACTGTCAAATCAAAGATAAATAAAGCACAAAAGGACGTTTTAGTCAGAAATTTTGACATTTTCATTGTTATTGGCAGTCTCATCATAAATTCCTCAATTCTTTTAGCTATCTTCATTCGCTGCTGAATGTCATGGACTGTAATGGCGTATTTCTTTGTTGTATCCTCGTTTAAGCCCTCTAGGGTTACATCAAAATGCAAAAATAATCTTGGCGTTTTATTGTAAAGTTCTCAATAGATTTAATGTGACGCCCTTAGGTTGGTAAAAAACTCCAAATACAGCTATCATGCTGCCTTCATCTCATGTAAACCATAAAATTAAGGGTATTTCGCTCTGTGAAACTAGATAGAATCATCACAACAACGCGATAAATGCAAATAATCTGACAATGAATGTCAAAGAATCATTTTAGCATTGAAGACGCTGGAAATCGCAGGTTGTATTGCTGCAAGCAATCTTTTGAGTCGTTTTCATTTTTAATCTTTCCAACTGCGAGGGAAATGAGCCATTTCGAGAATGTATAAAAGCTCTGTTCATAATGTCATTCTGACATAATGCAGCAAGTGAAAATTCTGAATTTCCTCTCTTAAACCATTGGTAACTTACATGTTGTGTGCACAATTTCATTCAGGATCCTCGTCAAGTTGGTCAAGTTGGTCAAGTTGGTCGAAGTGGTCGAGTTGGTCAAGTTCAAGAAGTTCAGGTTCAGGCACTGCTATTGGCGCATCAATCGGGAGTATCGTTTTTGTTGCGATCATAATAGGAGTCATCTATGGATGTTGCAGAGCATCTTGCAGGGCCAATCGAGGAGCCATCATTGTAGCACAGCAAGGACAGACCGCACAAGCCGCCCCCATTGTAAATGCCAATGTCTCTAACAATGTAGCAACATCCCAGGCAACTACTCTAGCACCTACAACTACTGCAGGTTACATGCCACCACCGCAGGGTGCCCCTGGCTATATGTACCCACCGCAGGGTGCCCCTGGATATATGCCACCACCGCAGGGTGCACCTGCATATATGCCACCGCAGGGTGCCCCTGGCTATATGTACCCACCGCAGGGTGCCCCTGGATGTATGCCACCACCACAAGGTGCCCCAGGATATATGCCACCACCACAAGGTGCCCCAGGAGATATGCCATCACCAGATGGTCAAGGCTATATGGCGGCGCCACCGCCATACTCGACCAGTGGTCCTTATCCAACTGCACAATATCCTGGTGGAATGCAAAAACAATAAAGATTTGCAAAGTACTTTAATTTCAACTGATTCGTGTCGTTATTCTAAGATTTCAAAATCTTGCAGCCGTATTGCTGACAAGCCATTTTTCTTTAATTAAGCATAGTTCAGGTTTTCATCTTATAACTTTATGTAGTGCTAGATTCAATTTGCAATATATTTGTTGTATTATAGCTGCATTGTCAGAACTATATAGATTTAATGTGTTGGGAATTCCTAAGCAACCTGCAAGGTTATTCACCTTCTTAATTTTTTGCCGAATGTTCATGAAATAAGCACTTGATTGACAGAAGATGATTACAAGGGAAAAAGCCCGATTATCCAACTTTTCGAATTTGTCTCCCACTCCAGTTTTGATCCATAACTATATATTATATTAATCTTAATATTAAATCAACATAATGTTTCTGAAACCATGCACCTCAGCCAGTTCAAATGGTCATTAATTATATTAATAGCAATATAGTGTTGTGACAACCGGCCCGTTGTCAGGGGGTTATCAACAGGTGCTAGCGCTTTGCCCGCTCGATTCAAATTGTTGTGCTGTTGCCGTATCGCATGGTCGCTATCGCCGCCATTTTACTTTCGTTCGCTGTTCGTGATGATTTGTCGGTCTGCATTGTTTTGCGTATCTTGACAATTATATTTTATTGTTAATATTACGATAACTTGTTGATTTATAAATGATTGATTAAGTATTTAGCTTCATGTTATTTTTATTGAATTATGTATTATTTTGAATAATCTTGTTACTTTAAAGCAATGTATCACGGTATTCTAAACTAATTAATTGATTTGACTTGTTTCATTTGGTTTCGTTGGTCTGATTCTTGGATCTATTTTTGTGATTTATCAAAACGCATGGAAAAACCAAGAAGATATAAAAATATTTTTTTGTTACTAAAACTGTTTGAGGTTACTTTACATCAAGTACGAATACGGTTCTCGACGTTTTTCCTCTCGTTCCACATCAACAAACAAAATATCTGGCTCATCTTCACCTTCTTCTTCTCCAGCTTTCTACATCCGAGGAATTCAGGTTCCCCATTGGGCTAGACTGGTGCCTAACTGGCTTTTTTTAACTTCCCTTCAATTATTTCTCTCAAACGTTCCAGCTGATTAAATTTTGACTCATCAATTTCTAATTCACAATTGATCAGAATTTCTTAACCCCTTGTTCCCATGGCCAAAGAAAAAATTTCGAAACCTAAACGCTTCCAAATGTGTCCTTCGTGACTTGCAACATATGAAAAAAAAGCTCTCCTAAAAAACGATTTGTTATATTATTGCCTACTCTTTCAGTTCCATTTATTTGGTTAACATTTTTATGTTTACTGTGGCCTAATAGGCAGATCGTAGATGATTCAAACTACGGCGTGCTTCGAACGTAACTTTTTATAACTCTCCAAACATAACAATATATATATGGTCTGGGCCCTAGCGTCCTTTCGCTGAACAAAACATTACATTTACTCTTTTCTTAATAAAAAAAATTAAAACAAAATCCGTCAACGTATTAATCGGGAGTTTATTGGATCTCCATAAAACTGTGTCAGTATACGACTGCGTGCAGATCGACGAACAGAAATTTCTTCTGTGGCTCTTTTGTGATATTCGACATTATCATCATCATCAGCAGCAGCAGCAATGTTACCGTCAAGTCTTTGTTGGACCTTTTTGAAGAATGAAGAGTTACGGGAAATGAAATGATCTCCGTGTCTAGCAACAACCTTTGATCCATGAACACGAACGACTTTGTAAGGTTGCACGTTAAATCTAGATAAGAACTTGTTCGTTTTCTTTTGCATACAGATAACCAGGTCACCTACTTTAATATCGCATTCTTTCGTGTTTCTGCGTTTATTAGCATAGTTCATCGCATTTTCCTTTCTTAGCTGATCATTCTCTCTCGCTTCACGATGTCTGTTTATGTTCTTGTGCTTTCTTGGTAGCATGGGCAGCTTTCCTTTAACAGGTCGATTGTATAATAACTGTGCTGGCGGAACTTTCGTTGTGGTATGTGGTGTGATTCTGTAATTCAGAAGGAATTTGTGAAGCTCTTGTTGCCATTGTCGTTTTTCAAGAATGGCGGTGCAAATCGACTTTCCAAGGGGTTTCATGAAAGATTCCACTTCAGAGTTTCCTTGTGGCCATAAAGGCGTAGATATTGTGTGACGTATACCTAATGCTTTCATGTACCGGTGAAATTCATTTCCGAAAAATGGTGGGCCGTTATCAGACTTCAATTTATCAGGCATACCATGACGTGCAAAAATAGCATCCAGCTTTGGAATGATTGCACTTGCTGATGTTGACGGAACAATATCGACCTCTGGAAATCTCGAATATGTATCAATAACGACAAACAGATACTGTCCTGTTGGCAATGGTCCATAAAAATCAACTTTAAGTTCTTGCCATGGTCTTTCGGGCAAAGGTGGTGACTTGAGTGGTTCTTGTGCATTTGGAGCACCTGTAGCTTGGCATGCTAAACAGTCGGCTATCTCTTCATTAACTAAGTTTTGAGCTTAGGGAACCACACGTACTCGCGAAGAAGTGCTTTGGTTTTAGCTGTACCTTGATGTCCTTCATGGGCGATTTTGATGACGTGTCTTTGAAGTGACTCAGGTATAATGATTCTAGTTCCCCTCAGCAGAATGTTGTTGGTGAGATCAACGGATATCTCATGTTTTATTGCGCGAAATGGTTGTAAGATATCACCGTTCCAACAATTACTCCTGATAGCTGCTCGTAGACACCGCAATGTTGTATCTTTATCAGTGGCAGCCTTGATTTCACCCAAAGAAAGAGCAGGAAAAACAGCTTCTTGGGTGACGAAATTGACGTATTCATCAGCTATATTTTGCTTCTTGTATTCAGCTGAAGTTGGATGACGTGAGAGATAATCGGCAGGGTTTTCAATCCCTGATTTATACACAACTTCAAAGTCGTATTGTTGTGAGCGCAGTATCCAGCGTTCGATACGCGCTGGTGGTTTGAAGCAAGGGTTTGCATAGATAATTACCAACGGTTTATGGTCGGTAACTAAAGTGAATTTGGAACCAAATAGATATAAATGATCAGGGACGAAAACAAGTTGTTAATTTTGGGGGGGCGTGGAAGTATGAAAATTCCAACTTCAAGTGATAAATTTTTCATTCGACCAGTAGATCTGTTGTACCTACCAAATTGATATTTGTAAATAGCCCGAGCACCATAGTTCTATTTTCTTTATAATTACCAAATCTTTACTCAATAATTAGCCTAAAGCATAAAAGCCTAAATCTCTAAATTTTGATTAACATGAAACAAACATTAAACATACTGTAAGAAGTAAAGCAACATTTAAGCAAAACCAGTATTAGATATACTTAATGATTAGTAGTATTCTTTCAGATCAATTGATCAATTTTATCTAAAATACATTTTTTCACGATATAGAAGCACCAAGAATTTGGGCCTTTTATTTTCGTTCTTGATCGAAGAAAACTACCTTTAAACTTTTCAGAGGGCCAAATGCCTTTTCATTCTTTACAACTGAAATGATGATTTGAGAACAAACTTGTGCATATGCCTGATTCGAAAGATGAAATACTCTTCTTTGATCAAATACTTCTACTGCAGTTTTTGCAATGTGTTCTTGCTCCACAGCAGTTTTGTCATAGGAATTTATGATAAGGACTCAAGGACATTAACAAATAACAGGGGGAGTTTAGCATAAACTCGTTTTTTATAAGAAGCGTTGAGAATTTTTAGTACTGAAAGATTCTTAATCTTTTATTGAATTAACTACTCGTAGTTTCTAAAAAAATTCCCACTCTAATATTTTCTGATCAATGCGGGTATTATTATTCAAAACTGTAAGTTTCAGGTTTCTTATCCGTAAGTTCACCTTGCCTGTTCGTAATTTGATTCAACTCCCGTCAGAAAGAAAGAAAAAGAAAACGGGGCAAGTTTGCAATTTGGACCCAGTGGAGACGGGATTCACAATAGAAAACGATTGGATGGGTCAGCTTCAGCCTGTGAATTTTAATGTTTAGAATTTTTATAAATTAAAATAAAAAAACTTCTTAAAATATAAAATTCACAAGTTTGGTCTTAAGAAAAATATTCCAAGTCAACCGTTACGTTTTCCAACTGTAACTGGATTTTCCAAACTTTGGGGGGGCGTTACGCCCCCCACGCCCCCCTATTATTTACGTGCCTGTAAATGATAGTGTTCAATCCCCCATACTATGGCGAGTGCCTCCTTTTCTGTTTGCGAGTAGCGTAGCTCGACGGGTGATAATGATCTACTTGCAAAAGCGACAATGTTTTCTTGCGCACTTCCAGGCTTTCGTTGGCACAAAATGGCTGATAGTCCGACTGGACTCGCGTCAACAATAACTGTAGTTTCCTTCTCGATGTAAAAGTAGCTGACGACAGGACTCGACGTGAGAAGATCTTTTAACGTGTTGAAAGCCTCTTCACAACGTTCTGTCCAATTAAACTTAGCGTTTTTCTTTGTTAGATTGCGTAAAGGCTCTGTAATCGTTGCATAATCGGGTATTTTGTAACATGTAGCCATTATAGTTTTTTGCACAATCTGGGTTTTCTAGCAAATGCTGCCCGATAGCAGAATCGCAGGTTTTAGTTGTAATTTTAGATTTGCACAACCGAGGTGGCTGTTCTCTTTGGGGATGTGTTTTGTTTTTAATATTAGATGGAACGTGTTGTTTTATCCTATCCTCCAATCTTTGGGTGGTGCGTCCTACGTAGCCAGAATCACACTGGCACGTAAATTCATAAACAACAGAACTTTTTTTTGTAGCAGGAACGCAGTCCTTTTGAATGGACTACTTTAATGGCGACATGTTTCGGATTATTGGTAAAGCCCGATCGTCGTTCCACCTAGCAGTTTTAGAATCTATCTACATAAGCACGAAAAAACCGCTACTGTGTAGATAAAAGAAGTTCGTTTTCACCTTAGGACTCCACTGGTAACATTCTAATAGGCAAGTGGCACTGATTGGTCAACCTTTACAGTCATGTGCTCGTGTTTCTGATTGGCCCATTTCGATCCACAACTGGGTATATAAAATTCTTAGCGTAGAGTTTTCGATCTATGTTCTGACGTTTTAAACTTTGGAGAGTGCCAGACGAAGAGCTTTAGTTTACTACTTTTTCAAAGCCCTTTGGAATAACCTTTTAAATGTAGCTCGTAATCAAGCTTTTGTCAAAATTGAAAAACAGTCTACATGGATGAAAAATAAATGAATGAAGCTTTATCAAAAACATTAACATTGAAATATCAACAGAAGCACTGTCAACTCAAAAGAAAAGATTAGGCATAAAAAATAACTCTGAATTTGAGATGCGGCATGGGGGTAATTAGACATCACTTGACAAAATAAATCTCATTTTACTACTTTAAACATATTTCCACCAAAAAAGATAAACTATTCTTTATATTCCACTACTTAGACAAGATTTATTTGTTAAAAACGTCACCCCAGCTACGTTTTTCTTTCGCAGAGAATAGGCAGGAACTATTCTTGATTCAACCCCCATTTTACCCCCAAAAAACAGCGGCAAATCCCCGTTTACCATCACAATCCAATATCAGCAGTTGATAAAGAACTCGAATTTGGTAATCAAAATTTCCCCACCACAAAATGATACTCCCCACCATTTCCGTCTGGTCTGTTAAAAGCAGGACCTCGAGATTGACACGGGATGTCTGTATCAGCTAGGGGAACTGGGAATTGTTTATCAAAAGAATTTGAAAAGCCATTTATTAGCGATTATGAGAAGATATTGTGAAAATCTAGTCAAGCCCTCTTTCTTTTATTAAAAATCACCACATTTTACTGACATATATTTAGGTGGCGTTCATCAATTTATGATGCTATGAAAACACAAACATTTAACGAACGGGTTGCGCAGATAGCATACCGTTTTTCGTCTGACACTCCTCAGAGCATAAAACGTCAGAACAAGGGTCCGAAAGAACACGATGAAAAATATATAACCAGTTGTGGATTGAAATAGGCCAATCAAAAAACCCAAGCATAAGGCCGGTATAGCTTACCAATCAGTGCCACGTGCCTAAAAAAAATTACCACTGGAGTCCAAGAGAGGGGGACTGGGGAACATCTCAAAGTTCTTGTTCCATGTTGAGATTGAAAACATTTATTGTCTTTGCTTGGTCTGGAATATGCTTAATTTGATGTAGCCTAAATCATTGGAACATAAAAATTGGAAAACAAATCATAAGAAAATCTCAATATGATAAACTCCTTGGTATTCTACTTGATGAGAATCTTAGCTGGAAATACTATTTAAGTGAACTTGCTAAGAAGTCAACTAGAACTTGAGGAATGTTTTTTTAAATAAGACACTTCGTTCCTGTTGATGTGTAATTATGTCTCTACAACTCTTTGATCTCTTCTTTTCTCCAAAATGGACTTGCAGTTTGGGGTTTTGCCAATGACATTCACATTCATCAAGTTTTCTTATTGCAAGAGAGGGGGGGGGGTGAACTGAGCTATTGCTTTCAAAGTCTTTTTTCTTTTTCGCCTCCCATTTTCTTTGACTAAGAAATCTTAGAATCACAAGACTTGTTTCAATCAAAACATCTATCCTTCTGTTGTATCATAACGTATCATAAGATTTCGCCTGTCTGCTTTCACTCGTACTTTAAATCAATCAAGTCTATTCACCAACATGAAACTCGAAAGGCTTCGAAGAACGACATTTTTTTAAACTCAGAAAAACACTTTTCAATACGGCTTAAGATCAGTGAGAAAATAGTTGATTGGCTAGCTCCATTCGCGAGAACTCTATTTTACTCACCCACCGGTGCTTGAAATATCATCGCATACTTGGATTTCATTAGAGGATGATACTGTCATTCGCCACTTTATTGGACAGCACTTGGATTCTGCCAAAATCTCGGTCCTGTGAATTTGCGACGTTCCAACAATAATAGCTATTGCTGACTTTCTCGGAAACACGCAAAGAAACATGTGCAAGAAACAGTACTTTGAAAATCTGACCAGTGCTCTAGCACCCTTTGCACCCCCCCCCCCCCCCTTGATCCGCCATTGCCACTGACCAACATGACCTCGAACGTAAAAATTACACACACTGTAATTCTACATAGTAGCGTGAAAAATACATGTGGTGTAATTTGTAGATAACTCCCTATTGAAATTGCATATATTTGAAAAAGAGGCTACCAGTTAAAGGTTACAGGCCATTTTGTTCTGCGGCCATTGTTGAATATCGAAACAAAATGGATTTTAGCTTGTGTCTTTCGGATCATTCAGAGGGAGAGAATGAATGTGGCGAAGATGCGCAAAATAACGGTAAGTGAGAGCCATCACTAGATGTGAAGCCAAATATCTAACTTCTCGTGAATTTATTCAAAGTGTCAGGCAAATGCTAAGTATAAACGCTATTATAGCGCTACGCTCTGGAGGCCAGATTTCCGTAGTCTGTTGCTTTTAGAGGTTGCCTGTTACTTTGCGCGTAGGAATTTTATGAAATGTAGCAATAAAAGAATAATGGGTTCGTTTTTAGAAAACAAGAAAAGTTTAAGGCGTACTCCTGCTCTCCTCTTGCGGACACTGGTGTGTAGGGCACGTGTTAACATGGGATGTAAGCACGTGCTTTCAGAGGGGGGCGATGAAAATGGGACACCATTTTCTATTAAAAGGGCATGTTCAAGAGGTACTTTTTTGAATAATAAAGAGGACACATTTCAAATGAACAGGGACTGAAGAGCCCGGTTAGGACAATCCTATTAGCCTCTTCTCATGTACGTTAAGGAGTTTTTTTGACTACATTAACATCCATGAAATTAAACCTCTGGATTTTTCATGTTCGCCACTAAGTAGTCACATTTCACTAAAATAGCAGCAAAAAATTTGAGACTGGAAAAAGTGAAAGGGCACATGCCCTCTGTCCCCTGTCTCCTACCCTGCCCTAAGCCACTGGGCCAGGGGAGCCACTGGACCACTGGTAACTTTGTTTTGCCTGTGGTTTAAGTTCCATATGATGCCAAAATATGTTTCAGGGTAGAAGTCTGAGCCAGGCCCAGTGATGTACCAGCCAGGGAGTGTGAAGGATATGACACCCCTTACTCTGTACTTCAACTTCTGTTAGGTAGAAATTCAAGCTTTGCCAATGCTAGGTAATATTTAAATCAGGAAGACAATGGAGTCCTTGAATCATATTCAAAAGTTTTGGTAATTGTTTCATTGGATAGGAAGCATAAAATATTTTAAATAGTTGATGCTCCATCTATTGCATAGATGCAAGATTTTTCAGTTTGATATCGAGAGTAAAAAACCCCCCTCAAGCTGTAAGTTTCTGTAAGTTTTCTGTAAGTTTAATTTGTTTTACTGTGGTATTATATATTGTAAGTATTTAATTAAAAAATCACCCTGAGGTATCTTATGAGGTATTTTCTTTTTCCTGGAGGTAACAATGTTTCTTTTCATCAGTGTCATCCTTTTTTAATAAGGCATGTTTCTTTAAAGAGATTTTGCAATATTGCCTTGTGCACCTATCTTAACATCTATAATTGAAATGAAGAAGAGTGCTCTCAACTCAAGAGTGATGCAGCTGTTTTGATTATAATCAAGAAAAATGGTAAAATAATTGATTTTAGTTTAAAAATTGTTATCTCCTTCAGGTCCTCAGACAAGTGGAGCAATTACTAAGGTACCATATGTTCTCATACTGTGTAGTATCCTGTATTTTATCAAGTGTTTCTATATCAGCTGCTTCTTTAATAAAACTGTGAAGCAGACATAGATTAATAACTGTTTTATCTCATATAATTGAACCTGTGCAACAGCAATGATTAAATCAGTTTCCAGAATTATTGCACATCTTTCTGTTTGTGATTAATTCAATATTTAAATCTTTCTGTAATGGCATCATTTTGTTTACAATTTGTTAGCCAAAGTGTCAGCAAAGTTTTTTAAGCTATTCAGATGCAATATTGTTTGTATTTTAATTGACTCCATAATTTTTTAGAAGCAAAAAAGCATCAACTGGGGTGACTTTGATTGTGTTGACTAGAAGCTTATCTGTTGTAAAAACTTAGCTATAAAAACAACAATTAGATACAAAAAATGTACAGAGAATTCTAATATATTTATTTCTTAAACCCTTTTGTTTTCCAATGAGGCAATAGGCTAGCAGTCACAAGGTATTCAAAGAACATCCTGAATACATCCCATACTTGACAAGTCTCCTGCATCCTGCTGGAGCCTCCAGCATTTCAAGCTTGTCTCCAGCCAAGCTCTGCAACAGCAAAACCTAAAAAAATCTCCAGCATTCTGTGTTTTTCAAAAATTCAAATTTACTTTTACATTTTGAGTATTGTCAAGTGTTTTTTCATGCAACCAATAGAGTTGCCTTTCGTATGTTTAGATGTCTCACGGGCTTGCGACCTGCAGTTCTAATCTCCCTTTGTCCCCTGCTACTTTTCTGTATTGAGTGCCATGGAAATATTTTAAGCTTCTCCATAGCTACACACTCAAATCTCCAGCCTTTTATTCTCTGAAACTTGGCAACTATGCATCCTCCTTTGATTTTTGACAGACCCTAATGTCAGTCACAGGAGGTAACTGTGAGGCTAAACAAAGAATTTTGAAAGTGAATGTATTCAGAATTTTTCTTTTATATCTTGTCACTTGTGTTTTGGGAACCGAATGCTGCTGAGACATTTGCAAGTTTCAAAGTATTGTCAACACAGCTAATTAGAACAAAAACAATGGTCCCCTTTTAAAAAACATGGGGGGTTTTAGTAGATATTCAGGGTTGTAAATTTAGATGACAAAAGACATTTTTCTTTCGAATTTTATTAGCAATCAGGGCTTTTCTGCTTGCCCTGTCTGGTTATTTTTACTTCTAGTGCCTTATCCAGCCATTGCTCCAGCTACTAAGCAGTCAGGGTGTCTAGATAGAAGGCTCAGCTTTGCGGCAGGATCTTATCTGAATACCTTCAGCAGAAAAATCTGTGCCACTTCTTAGAAAGGTTTTGGGCCCTGCTGGGTTCTTTGGTACAGGCCCCTGGCTGTTCCTGGCTGATAACCTTTTATATCCCTGCCACAAAGCATTTTTTCATAAGGAAAAGGTACATAATGCAAGCAAGATCTAGTTTTCTTGCAAGTCGATTCCTAGACAACTAGGATATTCAGAAAGTAAACCCCTTTAAGTATGGTATCGTATATAGATCTAAAGCATATCACAAACATAAATTAGTCTGACTTAGAGTAAAGTTTTTTGCTATTTTTGTTGGAATGCAGATAAGGTGAAGTAATCTATCAAAGCTATTTAGATATCATTTTAAAAGCACATTTCGAGAATCAGAGGGTATGGTATTGAGGGTTTTATGCCTTGTGTGTTTGATTCTATTGAGTAGATTTTTTGTACCTTGAATACGTATTTAATATTGTTTCAAGCTGCTCTTGATTAGATGTTTATAATGAGCATCCTTTAATAGGTTTTTACTTTTACTTCTCACAAACAGTTAGGTGAATCCTTTCACCCCCTTCTTTGATTTGGAAATTGCTAGATAAAATTATTTTGTTATTTTGACTTCTTTGCTTCATAGATAAATAACTAGCTTACAGATATATTTATATGATGAATGTAAATAATGGATGTAAAGTTATTTCAAAGATGGAAAGTGAATATGTTAAGATAATGTTAAAACTTTCGGTCTGTAATTTTCCTGAAGGCTTGTACACATTGTGGAGCTTCAATGCCAATCGCCGTCAAAGAATGTTCCAGCTGCAAGTCTTTAATACAAGCAAAGCCAAAGAAACAGCCACAGAAGATAAAATCTAAAAACACCTCAAGATTGAGGGGTTACATTAAAAAATATGTAAGTACTATTTACACTGTGTACAAAAGTGTGGAAATGGTGGTTAAAAAAATGGTGGCAAACAGTGGCCAATGGCTTAATCCTGCAAATTTCCAAAACCAATTTAGCAAGTGTATTGGGCCTAAAAACGATAGTTTTTTGCGCAAAAAGCGATTCTTTATCTGACGGGGTTTCAGTTGAAACAAAATTAAATGATTTTTTTCCTGTTTTAAGGAAAGGTCACTGCTGAAGTATTTGGTAAGGATAACATTGTAAGTGTAAATAGAGACCACCTCAAGCTTTACTTCGATGACAAAAGTATTTCTTGTGAGATTGTTTTAGCATGAATAAAGTAGCTCTATATTTGACAAAATAGACTGTGGATTTTCTCTTAGTTGCTTTGCCCACCATTATACCCAAGTAAATATTAAAGAAAATTATTTATACCTTATCAAATAATGCTTTTGTGAATAATTGTACCTTACTAAATAATAATGTCTAAATAACATAAATTCAAGCTGTCTATGTTATTTAGACAGCAAACTCTTGTATCACCAAATGTCTGCTTTAAAAAGTGTTCTTCTGGCATCAACCTCTATAATTTGCAGGCACATCTCCGCTAAAAGTATCTTTCCTAATAATTTCAATGTCAGAACAAACGTGAAAAAATGCAGATTTAAATTTCAACGCAGTGTACTGTGCTTCTTCAAATCTACCTACATTTCATCATATAATTGTGTCTGAATCTTTGATTATTCTTTCCAGAAGTTCCCTGAAGTACTGATTCAAAGGTTTCCCAAGATTTCTTCTCAAACCGTAGAATAATACCTCAAATTCATTTTTATTAAAAAGCCAATGAGTTGGAATATTATTTTTCTGCCAACGTCTTTAGTCACGAAAGTACCTTTACCTGGTTAGTCTGTTTTAGAAGTTTGCTGCTTTGAGCCGCCATATTTATTACAGTTTCCATATTTTTGTACTACTGTATTTGTATGCTCGTTTATTTTCTGACATTAGCAATATAAATGTCTGCATGTAATCCACATCAAAGTTTACTAACAAAGTAATATACTGTATACTTGTATCAGGAAGCTCTATTTCAGTTGTTCAGAAAAAATCAATAATGGATTTGTGAAGAAACCTTTAACACTCAACCCAAAATGATATAAACATTGTACAATCATTGCTTAACATTCTTGTTTATCATTTTGCGTTTAAGTTTATAAAATGTATCAAACTACCTTGTTTTGTTTTTGTTTTCTAAAACCCTTTCCTTTTTGGTTCCTTTTTGTCATTAACTTTCACTACCAAAAACGAAGAAACTTTTTTATTTGAAATACCTTTGTCCCTGAATTAAATGGTGTAGGAAATTTATATGAATTTATATGGCTTGAATAATGATGAAACAAATATACTGAATTCTGTTCATTTTACATTACTACATTCCTTTCGTTAATAGCTAATTTATTTAAATTGAGGTCATTGTAGTGTTTTGATGAACTGAATAATTGTTTGTGCGATTTTTCATTCATCCTCAAACAATTTGTATGAAAAATATTTTTGCTATCTCAGTCATTTACTTATTTGAAAGAATTTTAAATTGCCCCACATAATTATTAAGAATTAGAATCTTAAACACCCCCACAGAGTTTGGTATGGTAGATCGTATGTGTATGTATGCTATGAATATATTCCCTGTCATAATTGTATTAGAATATTTTCGTTATTACTATTTTCGTTCTTGCGATTGTGATCAACAGACTCTATTTTTTCGTTTTCTCAGGCAGATACTTTGCGAGAAAATGTTGGCTCACATGTAATTGTTTTGTATGCATCAACGCACACGAGACTGTCAAAAAGTGGCACTGAGACCAAGGTGTACAACATAAACACTTATGCCACAGAAGGGTTTGCAAGGAGATTTATTGGTGAAGGAGGAAGAAGTGATAGGCCAGAAGCTGGAAAAAAAGTCATTAGCCTCCTGGAAGTGATGCTAAAAAACGGTAGACCAGATAAATGATAAGTTTCGCAGAATTATTAAGCAACATTGTCTGTGTTGACTTGGTATATAAAAAGAGTATTTTTTCAAGGGAGATTTTTCTTTTTTGTTTAGAGCTGTTACTACTGGGCTCATTCTTAAGATTTATTTAACGATCTTCACACTAAGTTTCATGCTGGGATCAACTCGCAACAAACAAATTTTGATACTGAAATTTTTCTATCGTTACAACTACACATAAGACAGCTACTTACTTAAATCGTGTTAGAAAGTAAAAAGATCTTGAAAGGTTGGTCTCTAGCAAGCAGATTTATAACTGACAGGCGATATTCAAAATTCTCCTTATATGGTTTTGATATCGTTCCCATGCGGCGTTTGGTAGCAACAATTATATCTGGTATAACATAATTGTCGAGCATTTGTTTGAACGAATTATATTTTTTTTATCATTCAAGAGAGTGCCTCTGAACCACAACCTGACATTTGTGTAACGAATGAACACTCCGGACTTTTGGAAGAAGATGCGGTGGAGCCATCCTTCCAAAAGGTAGCAGGAGACGCAAAGATGGAAGACGTGGTCCAACAGGAAGTCGAGTATGAAGTCGAAAATGAATTCCGAGTTCATGCGGAAGATGAAGCCAGAAATGAGGACGAAAATCCTGCAATAGGGCTTCAAAGGGAATTTCAATGGGTAGCTGAACGTAACCCTCCCTTGGCTCCAAGTACCCTGTATACAAAGCCTCCTCTAAAAAGGAAACTTGAAAAAGGCTCGTCATGTTCAGTTAATTTTTCATATACATGTGTAACACTGCGTATTGTTTCCATGTACAATTATATTGATTCGACATCATGTAATTGTAAAAAATCTGTTGTGTTTGAGGGGTGATAGAAAATGCCCTGAGCACTGTTCAATGTATATGCCACTTAGGTAGATATCTGACCTGAGGTGCTTTATTCCCAGGTTTCTCGTGACCTACCACAACCTTAAAAGACGTTTGATAAAATAGCATTTGATGATATCTTACGAACATTTATCGAATCATGTGACACAAAATCGTTGTCAATTTGTCTGGGAAATGTGCATAAATAGTGCATGCATTTGCTAAATTACAATTAGCTCCATGATTGCAATTCTTTTTTTGATTCCATGTCGTCAGGAAAAAAAATTTCCTAAAGAAACCCTGCATGCTTGTTGCTATTTCTCATTGAATAGTTTAAAACAGGTTGCCTTAATGTATAAGTGATTTTCATTCTTGTTGAAGCTTAAAAGGTAACTTATATGAAGGAAACCACTTAACGGAATTTTGTAAATATGTTCTCGCATTTTAGACAGTTTAACTTAAAATCTCTTTTAAAATGCACTAAAAGAACTCCATGCTTGATACCCGAGATATATTTATAATTTTCAAAACCTCTTCGCCTGTAGATGAAGCAGATCGTCTTTGGAAAAAATATAAAGAAAGTCGTGCTTATATATATTGGCCGACCTTTTCCGGAAATAGCAAGAAAGACATGTGGGGAGGCAAGTTCTGGGAGTGCACATTTGGCAAGGAAACGCAAAAAACAGTGGAAGTACTTTACAGTGGCAATTATGAAGATGATTCCGGTGCAAAAAAGTATGAAGCTTTGGGACAGTGTAATGTCATTGTATCGAAGCATAGCCTGTTAAAGGACTGGACAATCAAGTTGGCATAGGAAGAATATAGGCCTATACCTTTTTTATCAGAATCAACACATTGAATTCAGGCTGGCTGTTCTTAATTTGTCAAAACTTTTAGGCTGCATTGTTTTTAATTTTTTCTTTAATTGTTAGGTTTTAAGCAGTGAAATCACTAGCTATTGTGCCCAAGGGGAGTATTCAGGCCCCATTTGCCATCAACATGAAGTGAAAACAAGTCAATTCCGTCAGCCATAATTTCGATAAGATAATCACTAGATTTTCGGATGGATTTTGACAGGCAATGCAAAAATAAAAAAGCGTATGCAAACAAACTTTTTTAAAAACTTTTATTTTTTTCTTAATTTAATTCTGGGGTTCATGTTCTTATGAACATGTTCTTATAAAAAAAGTGTTATTGGCAAATAACCTTTTTGCCTAATCCGTATGCATACCAACGTAGGTTTTACATTAAATTGTAACAAAGAAAATTGTCTTTGTCCTAACGATGTCTATAAAAGTGCTGTCATATAGTGGTGTGTTATGCCATCTGGGGAGATTATTTATTGTGTTTCTTGCTCTCTCATGTATGGACCAAAAAAGCAGACATGATAACTTATGACACTGTTCCCTAAGATATAAAAATGTGTCTCCCCATTTTGAATTATTCAGCAGAATTGAAACAGATTCTTTGATGTTTTCGTGTTCTTTAAGTTTAATTTGTTTAATCGAAAAAGCGTGCGATGGATGATCAGTTTTACCACCATGTGCGTTGAGTTTCTGCCTTATGTAATTTGTCTATGCATCTGAAGTCTTACGTTCTTGGTGAATAAAACATATTTATATCAACTTTTTTCCTCTTCTTCTTTTGAATCGATGGCGTGTTACTTTCAAGCATATAAAACCACATCGTCCACGATTATGAGATCGTATCATTTAACAATGCATGTTGTAATAAAATCGCTAAAGCTGACAGAGCTCAGTTATCAGTCTCTGTAATTTCGATTCAGGCTGTCGGTTTGGAGAAAAAAGACGATTCAAAATAAGACCCTGGAATAAGCCTAGTCGTATATCCTTTAAAAATAGTATTGGTTTCATCTTCAGTTTATTACCAGGAGACACCCATAGATTGTCAGACTTCATTCACATCGCCAAAATCACTGTGAGTTCGTCAATGACGCTTTTAAGTCGCTTCAAGCTAGGCCTCTGATTCTCTGAATTGCAAACGCATTCTTGTGAGAATCTTCGCACGCATTGTGAGACATTGGAAATGGCAGCATCAGCTACCCTGATGTGCCACATCATAGTGTATCCCATACAGAATAAGTCACTGCTTGTTGAAAGTTGAGTTTCCCCAGACTTTACTTCATTTGGCAAGCAGCACAAATCTCCAAACCGGTTAAGCATTCGCACACCATTAACTTTGTAACCATCATCCCCATAGCTTGCATTGCTGAAGCCGCAAAGTGATATCTTGCCTGAATATCTCTCAATCAAAACATTGCTGGGATTGATATTGTTGTGTAAAATTTTTCTTTCCTGCAAATAAGCAACTGCTTGCATGAATGAAACTGCAAATTGGCCCAATTCCTCTCTCGAATCAAAAATGTAATTGGACAATCGAACATGTGTCCCCTTGTATGATGACATGACAAGCTTTGGGGTTAGCCCGTTAACAACACCAAAAGCATGAGGAACAGAGGGATGGCTGCTTAAAAGCATCAAAATATGATATTCCTTCAAAGCTGCTGAAAATGGTGCCCCTTTGAAAGCTTTGATGGCACAGGTCATGCTCTTGAACTCTCCTTCGTATACATTGGCATTTGGCCCTTTACCGATCAACATGCCAATTCTTAGCTCGTCTTCACCTATTAAACTTACTCCTTGTTGCAACAAGGCAATGTTAGACTGTATCCGACTATCTAATGTTGCCATTGAAAGTAAATTATAGCCTCTAAAATTGACTGCCTTGTCGACGGTTTCTAGAAGTTCTCTAGATCGCAATCCCATTCCATAGTTTATTTTTATTTCTTGGGAATTGTTTATATTCTTAAGCTTTTTGTTTTGATGCTTCTCTAGTCTGAGAAGCTCCCCAAGCCTTCCTATTTCGTTGTCATATTTTTCTTTTGTTTTTTTGCAAGTTTTGTCTTTGCACCTTCCCTAAAATCAAAATTTCAGGATCAATTAGAAAGAGTTGAAGTGTTGATGCATACTGTCGCAATGTTAGTGTTGCTCACCTGATGCTGCAACTATTTTTGTTTAATACTTTAAGATATATGCAATCTTGTGAACTTGGATAAATTCAAAATTTTTTGCTGATGGGAATGATTTGATAATTTTTAGATAAACGGGGACGGTTTTGCATAAAATCGCATTTTTTTATTTATTTTTAATTTTATTTTATTTAAAAATGCAGGTTAATCATATGTCAGCTTCAAGTTGACTGATGTGGACTTCTGTTGACTGGATCTAACAAAACTATGAAAATGACCTAACTATGAAAGATTTTATGTAACAAAACTACAAAAAGTTACATTAAACAAAACTTCATTCTGTTTGATAGTTTCTGTTGGTCTGACTTTGGAGAACCTGCTTATTCACAAGATATAATTACAATAGACTGAATTAATCCAAAATTTTCAAACTGACAGAATGTTTTGATACCTAAATCTATCAGTTTGGTTATGAGAAAATCTTAATCACCATAAAACATTATTTGGAAAAAGCCATTAATCAGCAGGTTTAAGATGTTGTGCAAAGACTAATATAAAAAATGATGAAAGGTGATGTAAACTTTACTGCAATATCAACCAATACTTTATTTTAAAGGTGAGAAAAATCATTAGGATGCAATATTGTGTTGTAATAATTGAAGTGCATTAACATTTTCCACAAGATTAACAGAAGAAAAATGTTCTGCCTGCATGTTGTATTGTATCTTATTGTCTATATATATCACAAATCTTGAAAATACTTTAATTTGTGGCAAACTTACTGATGATGGCAGACTGTGTGCCATTTCTTGGTCATCTTCAGGGCGCCAAAGCCCAGCAGCATCTAGTTCAGCTTGTAGATCACTGGCAGAGGAAGAGCATTGGCTTGTTATTTCATCATGATCTTCATTCACTGGCTGCTGAGGACTAGGCATTGCTGGCTCTGTGATGAAATCATTTTCATCTTGCTTGGCAGAATTCATCCTTTCTTTATTACGCTTTCTTCTCCTGTATTCACATTTTTTCTTTGATTTGTAATTGCTCCTCATAGGCTCCATCTTTGTCTTCTAATATATTCCCCTGTAATCTTGCTATTTCTTTAATTTCTAGTTTGTAAGCGATGGAAAAATAATATGCATGATCTGCAGTTGAGAAGCTTTTAAATTTCAAGCTAAAAGTAACAACAAGTAAAAACATGATCTGCTCGTGTACGAGACAACAAGTAAAAACATGATCTGCTCACAGGCCTTTTCCTAAGAAAGAGACTATGCGACAGGCCTAGCACTTGTGTAATTTCTCTTACATGAGCGATCACTCTAAAAATGATAATAATAAAATAATCAACAATGCTAAAAGTATCCATCACGTTTACAAAAACCATACAATCCTATTTAAGGTACTTTGGTGTCAGATAACATCAAATGAAAATTAATTGTAATCTTTAATGCACTACAAAAAAGTTTAGATACCCAATATAAAAGTGCTTCATTTATAAATTTCTGCAAATATCATACAGGCCCTGGGCCCACTGGTTTCTGACATAAACTCATTATCTTTGTCAAAGTTGAAAATTGAGAATCCAGGCACACTGCAGTTCGTGTGTAAAATGGTTGTTTGCTATGTATGGTTGAAATGGTTAATGTAAAATTGTTTAAAACAAAGAATGCATTTGACTTTGGGTATTGTGTAGTGGGAGAAAAATGTGTCAATTACTAATCATTGCCACTTTTCAGAGTTCGTCCTGCTCTTGGGCAAAACGATGGAACATTTGAGGGATTAGTGGAAAAGTCACAATTTGGTTCAGTGGCAATTTTGCTGGGTGCACTGGAAAATCAGCATTTGTTTACTAATAAGCTTAATCCCTTTTGTCTATGAACAATAGGGATTAATTTTGTAAGAAGCTAATTTCCTAAAATCTTGCCTAATGATCACAAAATGTTGTACCAAACCTTTTAGAAACGCTTTCACTGACCAGGTGATGTTTGTATTGCTAATGAAGTTCAAATACTGTTGTTGACTTGTTGTTAACTCAGCTTACTTATGTTTCCTGTATTATAATATACTGACTTTTTTATTGTCTATGTCACTTGCTTGGGTCACAAAAGATGACTGGAAATGTGTTTATTGATGTAACTATTACTCCTCACAATTTAACGTTTTGCGCAAGCCAACAAATGATCACGGTTTGGTTTGCGCGAGTGCCAACGTAATCCCAAGTGACAGTGCACATCAAACGAAAGGGCCTATTCTCATCACATAAACAGGAAAGCGTATACAAATTATTCCCTTTAAAGCTTCTTACATGCTACTGATTTTTAGCAAGAAAAGATAAAAACACTATTCAAAGGAAAACAGTAGACTGAGGTTATAAAGTGGGCTTAAACCTTGCAAAATTGCAAAGGCAGGGCGATGTCATACTGTACTCCCTCAGGAGAAAAATATTCAAATCACAACGATTTTATGGTGATTAAATAGATGTCAACTTACATGACGACCTTATGCCAATACCATAAGGTAAAAATCTTCCTTATCTCAATTCCTTTAGCTCCCGTACCTCGCGTTTTTTATTCTAATAAAATATTTATAAGTTTCCGCAGTGAGTTCAGTAGGAAACACGGTGAGGCCGCCAGTCGTGAACAAAAACTACTCAATTCCCTCTTCCCGCCAACTCTGTTATGTCGTTGTAGTTGCTTTCCCCGGCCACAGAGCCACCGCTACCTCGAATTTTCTGTCTATCTCCATTATTCTCCAACCAAATTGATGTAAGCAGGGCCCGCACCACCCGGGGTGGCGGGGTGTCCATGCCCCCCCAAATTTTTTACGAAGCAAATAGTTTTAAAGCTGCAATAAAATGGGTCAAAAGCCTTGGCCCCTACATTTTTAGCTTTGGCCCCCCACTTTCAAATTTATGGCGCGAGCCCTGGTAAGGGTTTCTCAACAAGCCACTATTTAGATCATTCGGAATCTCGACTTTTTTCATTTCCCCTAGTTTTGATAGATCAGCTTATCTAGGAAAGTCATTCCCTAAAATACAGTGGTACCGTGATATTTCCCGGCGGGGCCGTGTCAAAAAATTACCTTATTGTGGTCTTTGAAATAGATGAAGCCCTGTATAAAAAGTGCTGTTTTAACGGCCCCAAACCCGAAGAAGTCAATAAAGAAAGTTTATATTATAATAACCATAAGGTCAAACTAAGAAGTAGAAGAACCTGTACCCTGGGTACCAAAGCTTCTAAAGAATCGAGTCAAACAGTCAAATATCAAAAATCAAACAGAAACAACAGAAAGAGGTTGAATAAAAAGATAAGACATAGAGTGGAAAAACGGAGAAAGAAGAAAAGGAGTAGAAAATACCACCTGGTTACAGCCTCGATCCCAGACAGAGAGTGATTGTGGTTGAAGATGGTATAGAAAATAACTTCATCGAATATCATGGTTGCTAACAGAAAAGGACAAATATGACATTTATATTATTCTACAAAATATTAGTCATTATTTTAAAGAGAAGGATTTAACGAGCCAAGAAGCTTGACTTTAAAAAAGTTTGATTATGGAAACTATTTACGATTTGACTTTGCAAATCAATTCGCAAGCTTAACAAAGTTTGCAAATCTTTTCTATGTTCATATTATATTGTAAAACTGTGTTCAACCTTTTGCGCATATAAGATTATTCTAAAACTTTGCAAGACCTTTAAAATGTCATGTCAAATTCAAGCCAAAACTTTGGAACATTGCAGTTGCTCCGTAACGTCGAATTGTTCTCAAATATCAGGCACAGTCTTTCACAGGGACGTTAAGAGGGGGGGGGGGTTAGGAGGGGGCAAAAAGTCCGGAGCCCGTGCACAAGCACTGTCCTCGCAAACATATCTAATCATGCACAATAATCCAAATCATACACACACGCGCGATTCCATAAATCCAAATACGTATTCTATATATACCTTAGTCCCTTCAAATTTAGCCTACCTTCAATTTTGGCTCCCTTTAATTTTTTCCCCTTAAATTTTCGCCCCCTTTTGTGCACAAGTTCGCTCCCTTTAAGGGTGTAGACCCCCCAAACTATAAATACTGAAGAAACAAGCCAGATGAGGAGTAATATCTACAGCATACATATATAAAAGCAAGAAAAGGCAATTAGATTCAAGATGGTGACTCTAATGTTGCCATGGCAACCAATTAATGCTAAAATATCACTCGAAAAGGTTTTCACGCCAACAATTTTCATGAAAGAACTACAAGATTTACAGCAATGAAATTTTTAGATTATGTTACTTATCATAAGAAGCTTGCAATGAAGCAACCTCATGGTAATTGGTAGTTTGATTAACCAGGAATTTCCAATTTTATAAAAGGTACTCAAAATCACGCGAATTCACAGATGTAAATTGAATTTCCTATGACCCCCATGTTAACAATAATGCCTATACTGCTCTATTGCATACCTCTATATGTATAAGAAACACTGTGAAAATTTCATCTTAATACCTAATGTGGTTGCAAAATTAAAAATGTTAATGTCAAAGTCCTTACGCAAGATTTACAATATGAAATAAAACAACGTAAAGTTTAATAAAAATAATGCTGCCTAAAACTGTCCTGGTCCATAAGTATCTCCTTCCTTTTCTTTAATCTTATCATCTTTTGATTTTCTTTTCCTTCTCAATCCTTTTCTTTTTAGTTTTGTAGTGTCAAGTTCTCTATATCCAGATGAATAAATTCTGCTGTTATCAAGCTCGTTGCAAAATTTGTTAGAAAAGAGCCCTGGCTCTAACCCAAGACGTTGTAAAACTTGTAAAGTTGCTGATTCACCATCATTAAAATGACATACTGCATCATAAACACCTAGTTCAAAGACATCTCTGCCAACATAAGTTGTTTTTGGAACCCTGTCCCAAATAACTCTGTTGAATGACTCATTTTGGTTTTGGGTCATGCCATGAAGGCATTTTTTCAATAATTCATCTGAGCTGAGCCTTGCAAAGATTGGTTTCAACAAAACAATAACCTGCATTGGCAGACCTTTGCCTGGCTTGAAAATGCTTGTGTTATTTGCCTTATCTGCTTTGAAACCACACCAAGAATCTTTTCCCTCTGGGCAGTAATTATGGTATGGATTATCTTCCGATGAAGCACAATGAAATAAAACCGCCAATATTGATTTCTTCATTGATTCAAGGTTACCAGAATTACTACGAATGGCAATACCATAGTAGCTTTGAATCTTATCAATTAACTTGTCAGTCAGCTTTCCTTTCCCACCTAAGCCCTTAGTCTCCTTTTTCAACTTCCTTAATGCTGTTCCCATCCTTTTTTGCACATGACCAATGCACTCAAGCTTCTCAACTGGTTTTCCTGTTTCTTCGTATATCCTTTCTACAGCGTGAAAACCTTTACTATCTCCATCGCCATAAAATTTTGTGTAACAAATTCCATGTTTCTGTACCGACCTTGCGAAAATTCTTCTTGCACCCTCAGGCTCCATGGCAGCAGCAGAAACATGAATATTTGCTTTGCATAGATGCTTTTCTTTCCAATTTTGATAGGTGATAGAGTTCCTATCAAGACTGGAATGTGTTTCACATCCTTTACAATGCCTTGACATAGGCTCAACATCTACCACCTTTCCTGTATCCATGGATATTGCACTTACACATCCATTCAAGGATACAAATCCCCTTTTTTGCCAGCTGCCATCAACTGATACACCACAATCTGTGTTATCCTTTCCAATTATGCTCTTTACTTCATTTGCTGCATTTTTCATGCTTTCCTGAGCAACATCATAGACAGCTGACTTCAGGGAGGAGTTCAATTTCATGAAGTTTTTCTTAGTAGGCATTGTTGGGATATTCATCACAGCACAAAACTTTTTACCACCTGCATAGCCATTTCCAGTCCTTCTCATTGCATAAGCAAAACGCTTGTTTACTTCATAACTTCCTTTCACTATTTTGGAGGTAAAAAATTCATAGGACCAAAAACACTCCTGGCAGGTCAAGGATAGTTTGTTTGCAAACCCATTCTTTGCTCTGTGGTTATCCTTCACTTCCAATGAACAAGACAAACATTCAGGACAGGCAAGCACTTTGAAAGCTTGCGAAATTAACTCCATGTCAATTAAACGATAGCCTGTTTCAGTAGTACAACGTTCGTTGATATCTTCAGACAACCTTTTAAAGTTTTGTCGTGCTTTTGATATCTTGGTAAGCGAACGTGACTTCCCTGATTCTGCTGATCGATTTTGTATCGGAGTAGATGAAACAAATGGATTAACAGTCCCCGATGTAGTTGGTAATGAGTCAAGTGACAGTTGAATTGGCCTAATTTCTTTGACTTTAGTCTCCTTCTTTCTAGGCCGTCCTTTGCATTTTGCTTTAAATTTTACATCATCCTTATTGACCTTTACATGTTGATTAGCCATAAATGATCTCTTTGAACGACGCAAGCTTCTAAATTTTCCCATGGTAGTACGAGACTAACTTTTTTGTCTGACCAACTTAAACGATAAAGAAATGGCAGTGGCCTTTTGAACATTGCAAAACGAGGCTGAAAAGCTCCTTCACATTCTCCAAATAACATAACATAATTGAAAGCTATTTGTCTAGTGAGGAGGGGCTTCATAAGAGGGAGGAAAACCGTTGCTAAGGGCGTTGCCAAGGAAAAAATTAGCAAAATTCTCAACAACTTAGCAAAAAAGGTTAAATAGCAAAAAAACGCAGTTAAAATACCGTTATGTCTATATATCAGTAAAACGACAAATCAATTCTCTACATAAATGGCTAAAAAAAAAATTTTTGTCGAAAAATTGAAATTTCAATATGCACTGGGGGGTCTACACCCTTAATTTTCGCCCCCAAACCCTTTAAATTTCAAAGCTTTGACCTAATCAGTTTCCAAGCAATGAACGTTCATGCGGCATTGAACTACACTCGGGCCTCTGAAAAATCTTTTTTTGCTTGTGAACTTTTTGCTGAAAAATTGCTTTTGCGATTTTTTCTTGAATTATGGAGGCGCTTTAGAAGGTCGTGTACGAGACAAGAAGTATAGAAGATCGCCAATTCCTAAAGGTGGACTCGAAATACCGATTGTACTAATCGTTATTAAGGATAAGGCGCCAAGTTCTGTCTTCAATCGAATGAAAGAATATCTGCAAGACTACTATATTGACCCAGAGAAGATGATAGTATCTTCTGACCAAACTGAAGCCGAGGAGAGATTGGCCGCTTGTGTTTCGGACGAATATGGCCCTGAGGAGGAGAGCACTTTGGAAATGGAAGAACAAAATCACCCTACAGACATTGGAGAGGACAATATTATCGTTATCGAAGATTAATGGATTTTATTTTGAACTACAGTAAGGCCTCCTAAAAAGACATCAGTTTATCATCTTTGTCGAATACTTAAGGATTAAGACCTTCAGTATGGATATTTTTACAGAAAGTCACTAAATGAGAACTGTAACAATGAAAGCAATCAACGCAGGATGAAATTTTGACGCTCGTAAAGATGGTAACTTGAAGCCTAAAAACTAAGTTTCTATTATAGAAAATAGATTTTTTAAGTTCCCTTTAATTTTCGCTCCCTCTAATTTTCGCCCCATCAAATATTTCCATAATTCGCCCCCTTTCAATCTCGCCCCCTCCGGGGCCAAAATTAAAGGCAGGCGAAATTTGAAGGGACTAAGGTATCCATATTTTTCCCGCTAAGGAATATCATGCCAGCCACCCCCCCCCCCTTTGTTATACGAAATAAGCAAAGAGAACAGTGGGTGACGTTCATGATCTAAAACCTTCAGTGCAACTTTTTTTAGAAACACCAAAACAACTAACTCGCAACCAGAACCGACGAGATGGGGACAAAAGGGCTAACTGCCACGATCCCTCGAGGTTTTGGACAGAGGCGGTGTCAGCGACTAGTCTCTGGGGGAACAAAAAACTCTTTCTAGGCCACGCCCTTTTTACTATCAGAAAACGCCCTTTAGTCGACAGGAAATGCCAATTTCACCAATAAGGAAAGACCATGACCAACTTTTAATTATGTTAAGGCAGTTTCAAAATCATAGGATTACATCACAAAAATGCGTTGCCAAAATATTGCCCCTCCCCTTACATTTTATCATCCAATTAACGAAACACATAAATTGACCCTGCTGACAACTCCTATACCCCCCTCCCCCTATACACTTGTACAAACTACAACCAGGATTTGATGAAGATGCAATCTTTCTTATGGTATGAAAACCCAGTCCAACCTGTAACCGGGCGATCGCATCAAATTGTTCATCGATGAAGTTCAGTTAGAAATTATTTACAATATATATCCTCTTGCAACCAGCACCTTGTTTATTTTATGAAAAAAAGAAAAACATAAGGACAAAAGCAACGTATCTTTTACAGGTTCAAATGATTGTCCTACCAAAGAACCCTTGTTTTTGAAAATTCCAGTTTGACATAAATTTAGCGTTTTTCATCTGCCTTAAGAATCCTTGTTATGCTTTGAAGAACTCTTGAAAATTTTTGCTATGAAGATGCACCCAAGGCAGTGGCTGAAATTCCTTCTTCAGGTGGGGGGGGGGGCGCAATGCCCACAAAAACAAGCGACTTTGTCGACAAATGGCATAATTTACCGACAAAACCAACAATTTAGGAAAACCTGGGGAGGCGCTTGCCCCCCACATCCCCTTAATTTCCGCCACTAGCCCAAGGTTTCTTTTGTAAATTGGAAATCGCGGTAATTTGTACAGAATGAAATAAACTGTTTCTTATTGCAATTTATTTCTTTTCAGGGTTCTGACCAGTATTATCGTCCATTAGTTTTTTAACAAGTCATATGATCGATCTTTTCAGACTCATTTTTGAATACTGTTTATTTTAACACCTGCCCCAATTATTTGTCAGATAATTTGATCTGCATTTGTACTTATTCACCTGCGTTCTAGTAAATTTTAATATTATAATTATAACTATTCTCGCCGGTTAGGAAGTTAGTATTATAGCTGACCTTATTCCAGATCAATTTAGGCATTGATGAAAAGATAATAATTTAGTCAGTAAAATTGCTTACTTAAGCTTTTATCAACGTAGCTTTTGCTTTTATTCACAACAATTGAACTTTTAATCCCCATAAAATCTTGGATCAACCCTCAAGGGAGGGTAAACATCCATATTTTCTGGTAGGGAAAATGCCATTTTTTGGGGTGCCACTTATTAGGAAATAAAGTTTCGGATATCGTATTTTGTAAGTTCCAACAGGTTTAAAAGAGTTGATGCAAAGTATCAAATTGAAAATCTTTCATGAAATAAAGTGCAGTACACAATAGTAAAGGAAATTGATTATTTTGCATACTCTGACATTTATAACATGTATTTGATTTTAGATTCGATTCAAACACTTGAACCCTCCCCCCTCCAGATGAAATAGGGTGAATAACAAGTTTAGAGTCCATCTTAATCTGTCTGCACTCTACATTTTGTAGCAGTGCACTTATATTGGTGCAACAAAACGCATGAAACCAATATGTCAAGGCTTCCTTCATGTCTACTCGAAAGCACCTCCAAATTTTTACCCAACCCTGTTAGGAAAATCGATAAACTTGTACATAATTCTAATATCCACAAAAAGGCTTTCGTAATATAAAATGACTACGGTGGATATTTGTTAGCCAAATAATTTATTCCTTAGACCACCGACAATGCTATAGTCATGAAGAAAGAGAATGGTGTTGTGTCAGACAAATCGTTTGTGTTATCAGGTCACTGATTCCTTAAACCACCGACAATGCTATAGTCATTAAGAATCAGAATCGTGTTCTGTCAGACAAAACGTTTGTGTTATCAGGTCACTGATTCCTTAGACCACCGACAATGCTATAGTCATTAAGAATCAGAATCGTGTTCTGTCAGACAAATTGTTTCTGTTATCACGTCACTGATTCCTTAGACCACCGACAATGCTATAGTCATTAAGAATCAGAATCGTGTTCTGTCAGACAAAACGTTTGTGTTATCAGGTCACTGATTCCTTAGACCACCGACAATGCTATAGTCATTAAGAATCAGAATCGTGTTCTGTCAGACAAAACGTTTGTGTTATCAGGTCACTGATTCCTTAGACCACCGACAATGCTATAGTCATTAAGAATCAGAATCGTGTTCTGTCAGACAAAACGTTTGTGTTATCAGGTCACTGATTCCTTAGACCACCGACAATGCTATAGTCATGAAGAATCAGAATCGTGTTCTGTCAGACAAATTGTTTCTGTTATCACGTCACTGATTCCTTAGACCACCGACAATGCTATAGTCATTAAGAATCAGAATCGTGTTCTGTCAGACAAAACGTTTGTGTTATCAGGTCACTGATTCCTTAGACCACCGACAATGCTATAGTCATTAAGAATCAGAATCGTGTTCTGTCAGACAAAACGTTTGTGTTATCAGGTCACTGATTCCTTAGACCACCGACAATGCTATAGTCATGAAGAATCAGAATCGTGTTCTGTCAGACAAATTGTTTGTGTTATCAGGTCACTGATTCCTTAACCACCGACAATGCTATAGTCATTAAGAATCAGAATCGTGTTCTGTCAGACAAATCGTTTGTGTTATCAGGTCCTTGATTCCTTAGACCACCGACAATGCTATAGTCATTAAGAATCAGAATCGTGTTCTGTCAGACAAATTGTTTCTGTTATCACGTCACTGATTCCTTAGACCACCGACATGTTAGATTTTTTTCTGCATTGTAGAGAAATAAAAAAAAATTGCAAATCAACACACTGTGCATTTCGTGCAGTTTATGTTATTACTCAAATCTATACAGTTAATTCGAATATATAAGCAATAGTGTTTGCCAATATTAGATTGAATAGCCAATGTGTTCAAATATTCTATAATCTTTCTTCCTGAAACATGTCATTCTGTTGAGATTTACAACGGATTTTCACGAAAGTCTCGTTTAGAAATCTTTCAAATATAAAAAAATTACGAGATTTGTTATAAATTTACAGTTGATTCCGTAAAGATTTGAAAATTGCAATCTGTGGGCCGTAGAAAGCCTGATGCTTAGAAGTGCTAACTACTTAGTACTAAATCAGTAAATTATTAATCATATATTATTGCAAAATTTGCCATTTTAATAAAAGTAGGCTTCTGTGTACATGGAACATTACAAAAGGTGTATTTATCCTATAGAAATTTTAAGTGATGATGTGACAAAAATATATTTTCAGAATTTTTTTAATTTGGGCCCTGAAAGAGCATCAGGAAAGACGTATAATTGAGCCAAAGCAGGTAAAGGTGTTACGAATTGGCTTAGGTATGGCCACATTAGCACAGGCTTTTTCCCGTCAAACCTCTGTAATTTGGGCTTTGTTCATAAATTTATGAACAGAGCCAAAATAACAGTAATCCGTATGCAAACTTCAAATCTTCCATTGACCATATGCCCAATTTTTGATATATGTAGCATATTTAGAAGTATTTTACGATGTTATTTCGTGTTATGTGGTCAAATTTCAAAAATTCTAAAAATAATTTGTTTGTGATGTCACACAAAAACTCTATACTTATGCTAAAATGCTTCAAAACTATTTTCGCTTTCTTCTTCATCATCAGAGTTATGACAACTTTCGATACTACTACTATCGCTTTCACTGTCACTCTCAACTTTTTCATTTGAATCCACTTCCATTCGTAGCTCATCATTTGTAAAAGAAGTGTCGTCCATCAAGTATTTTCGAAATTCTTTCCGCCCATACTCGATTTGCTTAGCACAGTTGTCAAGGCCTTGAAATGCTAACGAACGCAGTCCCAGGCTCTGTCTGCATGTTCTACATAAAGGCCTCCGCAATGTCAGCTAAGGGCAATAGAGAAAACAGCGTGAATCGGATAAAATAGAGTATGTATGAGATTTCTGTGTGTATGAAAGACATAACCTCTTCACAGAAACAACGTTACAATTAGGTAACATCTGAAAAATATAAATGACAAATACGTGGAAAAGAATTTCATATGCATTAAAGTGCATCACTACCTAGTGATACATTTGGGAAAAGCAGGTACACAGATAAGTTACACAACTGCATATTACTATAGTTGAAAAGCTACCAGTCCTTTACAAAAAGCACCGTAACTATCCATTTGTAGTGCATAAACCTTCAGAAATAGGTCCCTAAAAGTTGAGGGAAATGGTTAATTGAGTTGCAATAATAACACGGGTAATAATTATTGGCTAAAGAAATAGATCTGTACAGGCTAATTTCAATAAGAGGATGGAGTGAATTGGTAAAAAGAAAACAACAATACTCTGGTATTTTTAGATTACTAGAAAAATAAGATTTCATAAATTCAAATTACAAAAATCATTCATACTTCATCGGTTGAGGATTCCTGACAACTGCACAAGTTCATGCTTTCTAAAAAATAGAAAAAGTGTAGGTTTTCTGCCTTTGACAAAATGATGAAACTAGATAGACCTGGGATAAGAACTGTGGATAATCCTCGGCACATTTAGAAATACAATGGGCACAGACAGGATTTTTAAATTTGCAGACTAGCAGCGACCTATGACATCAATCTTATATTTATATGCCATAGTTAAATTTACCTTAAATAGCATTCTTGTCTTTAATTTGACCGAGAGCTTTGATTTCCTTTAATAATTTGTAATTAAAAGTGTGCTGGAGAAGGGCAATCATCCTTAAAAAAAATCACATATGAAATAGAAATTAATACGACCGAGAGATTTCGTCGAAACTTCACCGATATGATGATAAATCCTACCTTACCTTCACATGATGATATCTTCTTCTTAAGAAGTGGCACTATGACATCGACGTAGTAAACCAGGTAGTTTCTCATTTCTAATTTCAACAAAGTCTCTTCCTCGGCAAGTCGCTCCAAGGTTAGACATCTTAGTAGTAGCGCTTGCTTGAACTCTTGAGTGACTACGAAGAAACAATTATGTCAGATAAAGGGTTTCTCATTAAAAGCTTCCAGTTTGAAACACAAATAACACATAACCTGTGTATTCAAGCACAAAAAACACTCACAAAACACTATTAAATGATCGCTAGGTAAAAAAAATTAACCAACGGAAAAATGGTTTGCAGGGATTTTAAGGATATTAAGATTAGGAACTGGCCATGTAATAATATGACCTGCCTTTACTTTTCGAGTCATCTAAAAAATAACGACACCCCTGCAAATGACGTTATATCCAAAAGTGTATCAAACCATATCTGTAACCAGGACGGTAGCTAGTTCAGCAAAATGGTAAGAATAAAGATTAAAGTTTGATAAAAATAAAGATATTGAAAACTGGTTCCAGTTCGTGAATGGCTCATGCCCTGCAGAAAGTACAAGATTCGGACTAGCAAATCTACTATCAAAGAGCTAACCCGATTCGCTGTCATCATTATCAATAGATTTAGACCATGGGAATTCGCCACGGCTTAAATCTTCCAATTTGCACATGGGAAAAGATTTCTGCAACATAGCAATGGTTACATTATCGTTGTACTGTTTGATGACTTGCTTTAGTTCTTCTTTCTGACTAGCAACCTTCAGTCTTAACTGTCTTCGTTTTTTGCAATTGTCTACGTAGAAATACAGAAATAGTTAATAATCTACAATGGTTTGCATCCGTCAGTAAAAATTTCCTCGAAATTTTTTTGTAACAATTAGTCAGGAGCAAAATGACAAATAAGTGGCAGAAATCACATTTCTCATTAAATGAATATGCACCTTAAGGCAGCGCTGAATTACGTCACTATTTTCATTTCATTATAATAGCTAAGAGAAGTACAAAGTTAATTGTTCAGTTATGAAGGGTTGCCAAAACATTAAATGTCATACCAATCAAATAATTCGATTTGTCTGAATAAATGGCCCCAATGAATAACCTGGGTTATTTCAAATTACCGTCCTGCACCAGGTTTTAATGAAAGCTTGCTATTATCAAATGGGAACTAGTGACACGAATTTTGGCTAAAACTCAGTCTTCCAAATCCCTCGCCATTCATTATATTCCACATTATATAATCACCTGATAACCTGCCAAGATTGGCTGAAATGTGAAGATTTGAATAAAAAAGTGCTTCAATCCTGCGCTGTTGTACTGTCAGTAACATGGACTTCAATGCATCAAGTTCGGATTCTGGTGAAACGATGGTATCTTCAGAGAGTTGGGTATTCAACTCGGAATATCGTGTTATAAGCCCCTCGATGGGTTTTGCAAGAGCTCGGAGTTTTATTCTTTCAAGTGAAAAAGGAACAATGTCTTGGATATTCACTGAACAACCAATGTTGACTGGAATCCTCTTTGTGCTTTTGAGTTTCATGGCTATCAGCAAAAACTCCTGGCAACGCGAAAGATTTATAGCGGCAGGCAAATTCTGGGACGCTGATTGGAAAAAAAGACCAGAAAACACATGAGTATAGCAATAAGAAAAAGAGAGCAAAAACAGTAGTTTTATGGCTGCATTATTATCTATATTCGAGTAAGGCATTCTTTTTTGGGGGAGTTCTTACCTTGAGCATGTTCTGTTGCAGATTTTTTCCAAGCAGACAGACTCTCTTTCGTCAGGACAAAGTTAGTGCTGGCGAGCATTCTTTCTTTTTCAATTTGAAACTTAGTAGATTTTGATCGCACCTGAGGGTTTACAAATTGTTGCTGTTATCGTATAGAATGTAACTTCTAAACCATAGGTGATTAGACCTTTCAATCTAAGATATAATAACTAGTTACAATCCAAAAATTGAAGAGAAATAAAATCATTCGTCAGGATAGGAATCAAATAAAACGTACGTTGCACTTGTAACATAAGTAACATAAGCTAACCGAGCATGTGACAGATGAAAACATTCATCGATTTTTTGCTCATGATCAAAGACAATTAATCATAAAGCGTCCTCCTTTGTCTCCTAAACCAACAGTCACCATAACAACAGGCGAATGGTAAGTTTGCCTAGTAGTTTACCATGGAGGTTATAGCATGCTAGCTGGAAGTTAGTAAAGCTGTCAGTTGTCATCACTTATTATCAGTGTACTTTTTACTAGTTTTCAGCAAAGGCTTCCGTGCAGCTAACTGACTTGCATAAAGCTTACTTCATAATAGTAAACAGAAAGAGCTACCTGACAAAATCTTTTGCAAAGGAATTTGGCCATATCTTCTATCTTTCTCTTATTCCAAGACATAGCAAATTCAGTGATTGCCTCTTCACGATCTAACAACAAAAATGTAGTAATTGTTTTCAAGATATTGCTACTTTATTTTTTTATCAATTTTGATTCAATATTTTTCAATCAACAAGCTCAAAACTATCTCCCTAAGAGCCAATGTTCTCAAATTCAGATCCTCGAAAAATCTTTGGAAAATATCAAAGGAACAGAAGGGTCAAATGATTCAAATTTGCGTAATTTACGCATAATTTGCGTAATTTCAAAAATGCAGAGAACAATATCTGATTTAGGAACAGTGACTGTCCTACAGACAACTTCCTACATACGCTCTGGGCTCATGTGTTTAGTTGTTACGCCAGTTCTTGAAAGATAACTGAAGACCTGCTCATCTTCTTCACCAATAGTGTATCCACTACCTCGCTTCCAAAGACCACCATAAAGTACCTACAATAAAAGGATTTAATACTCATGTAAATCTAGAGAAAACATTTGAGGGCAGAGTGCCTTAAAATGCCATTCGCTAAGTTGAAGCATTGGAATTAACTACAAATCTTGCCTGAAGACTGAAGTTTATGCCATGATGCATGACGACATGTTTGGAAATACACAAGAATATTATAAAAGCAATATTCAATATCAAGGCAATAGAGCAGCAAATTCTAATTGACCATGACAGTTCAAATACTTCGATTTACAGTAAATTTAAATTATCATCGCAGGTTCCAGTATATATTCCTTGACATTTTAAGTTCAAAGTAACTGTGATGGACTACCACTTCTCACATTTCAGACCAAACCTGTTGGAACCTTTCCGGCTGTTCTACAAGTTTTGATATGCGAGATAAAACAAAGTAATGAATAAAGTAGTGGAAAGTTGACAACTAACTTCACATGCGGGTGGATGGCCTTTGACATGCAACATTCCAATAGCAGGTGTTTGGTGTGTGTACAGCTGAATGTCAATTTTTCCTAACCATTTCCAATATCGGCAAGCAACATCACTAAAATAAAACCGTGCATCATATTTGAAGTTTTTCTGCAAATAATAGGCATAGCCGAAGATTTCGCCACGAAACATGTTGACAGCTTTCTGTGCTATGCAATGCCTGCAGCTTACAAGTTCTAAACCTGTCTCATCGCGAGTGCCTCCATTCTGTTGCTTATTTCTGGCAGCAAGCCATCTCGATGAGCCACATAAACTGCTTTCGTTGTCCTATAACAAATCACTCAAATCGGTTACTTAAGTTAGCCATTAGCTAAATTCTTTCATTACCTACATTTAATGGTTATCCGATAAAAAAGCAAAAACACTTTGAGCTCTGGATTACTTGTGAAACTGACTTGTCGGTCATAATCACTAGCGAAGCAGTTATTTGGAGGCATCTTACTTCATTCAAAATAAATCTTGTAAAAGTACTCAATGAGAATAATTGTCTTAAACTTGAGCAAGAAAATGACATCTTAGAGCTCTCTTGCTTCGATTAAACAAATAGCAATCCTCTTTCCTTTCTTGATATTGCATGGCAACCAATCAATATTTCGAAATGAATTTCAATAGCTAAAATTTTTCAAAAATAAGATGGTACAAATTAGAGGATTCCCTTCAAGTTTAGCGTCTAATCTTGATTGGTTGCGAAGCACGATCCCTAGGAAAACCAGCATTATATGTAATCTTTACTTTTTAACTTAGTAGCTGATAGGGTTTCTGTGTAAAAATATGATAAATGAAATGCGAAAGGAATCGCCAAATCCGGAGTCTCCTTCAACTGGAACCAATCAGATTGCAAGAAATGAATTTTTTTAGCATTTTGAGCACATTTCCAGTGTTGAAAAATTGAACGAAAAACTGAAGACATAGAGGTTGTCAAGGCTCCATAATGAAGTTATGAATTTTGACTAAAAATCCCATCTGCTTTTGAAGTGATGCAATGCTATTAACAATGCTTTATTTTAGTATTATCACCATTTTAAGTTCAAAAAGACCACTGCAGCTCTGACCAGGGGCGGCGCCATCCCCAAAAAAATGGGGTGGACAATGGGTTTCCAGGGTTTTCCAGCTATATGACATATTAGAAGCAAAGTTTACATATTCATTAATTTAGAACACTGCAAACCTTATTCTTTGAAGATCTGGGGTTTTGGTAGATGGAATCTATTACACTGCTGACGTCTTCATTTTTGCAAAAGAATTTGTCTTTGTAATATGATTCCCTCATTTTCCTATAAACGAATTACTTCAATTAGGGTAGAAATACCAGAACTAATTCTCACCCTTCAAATATAAAAAGTCCATATAATCAAACGCTTAAACTGTTAATTGTGACGGTGTCTCTATGATTGTCTAAATATAAGAACTGCTGGGGAAAGTTTGGTCTAGGATGATGTTGGGCCTAATTTTGTAATGAATAAGAATTCTCCATCTTGCAGATGACATTTTGCTTTGCACAGGTCATAGGACATGAGTCCTAGGGGCGCCAGAGAAGGAGGGCTCAAGGTTAGCTCCTTATTCTTGCCTTCCAAACTGTATACTAATAATGTCATCATGTTTCGATATTAGTGAAATTAAATGGTTTGTTTAATTAGCTTGTTGCATAGAATACTATTAAAATTATTTAATTATTATGGCTCTTTGATTTTGCTCTTAATCATCAAACAAAAACAGCCAAAATAATCCTCACCTTCCGCCACTTTTATAGCGATATGTCTTCATGTTGCCATCAAATATAGCCGCATGTTGCGAAATGTGACATGGTGGACATTGGAAAGAATCAAATTCCTTTATCCTGCAAAGCTCATATTGCAAGTACTTGAACTCTTTGAAAGCTTTGGAGAATGCATCTTTTTGAATTCGAGAGATCTGTTGGGAAAACATTTGTGATTCCAGACAATAAATTATACCACATGTTTGGATATAAAATGTCATAAGAAAGTGATTTTCCATAACCTTGCTCGATCAAAAATAGCGTCCAATTCTCTTTAAAAAATATCATTCTGCCGGATTTTTTCAATACCAGAACAAAGCATAAACTAATCACTATTGCTTTATATGTTCTAAAATTCAACTGTCACACTACCAGAGAATTTACTGTTGGTCAAGTCCTCAACCTTTTATTGTAGCTATAAATGGTCATATCAACAACTTCTCATTTTGGCTCATATAAAGAACATGAATCAAATAGCAAGCTCTTTGTTTATACTGTATTGAATGTTCAAGATGAACTTGATCATTCAATCTCACATTGAACAAAACCCTCACATTTTCACTTAATGATTGTATAAAAAAGAGTTGTTTGTTCTAGCTTGTTTTGGTGAATTAAATTGCTGAAGACTGTGTGCTGGGAATCTTTGATAATAGACCAACAGAAAGTAAAGTGCTGAAAAAACCACTTCACTTGTTGAAGATGGTTGTACTTTGAAAGCTTATCTTTTGCTTTTTGTTACTGAACGAAAATTATATATAACAAGGAAACAATGTTCTGTTGAAAGAGAGTAGAGAAATATTGTATGGGGCATACGATAAGGCTGTGGCACAAGTTAATAGGAATAATTGAATATTGTTGATTTACCCTGTTATTATCCTTTGAAATGTCACTCAAGCTGTTCAGAAACCCATATTCAGAGGAGCCAGGCATCCGCAAACGAAAGGAATCCCAAGATATAAACATGTCTTCATCAAACAAAAAAGTAGCAGTATCAACTGTTCCAGGCCAATAGCGAGATGCAATGATGTATGGCACATCACTGAAAATGTCCACTTCAAAATTACAATTGTTGCACCGTAACAAAAACTTGAACAAATCAAAACGACCTGGCAAGAGAAAATTTTCTCTTCAAAAACATTATCATTCAAAGGGACTCAAAAAAGTAATGATCAATGTGGAAAAAATGTAATGTGCTACTATTAATGATTTTTGAACTTGTGTTCAGTTATGTGGAGCAACTGGTGAGCTAACAGCAGCTTCCATAGACTGGAAAATGTCATTGCCAATAAATCAAGTGTATGAACAGATAAAGAAACATACCTTGGTGATTGACCACAATACATGGTTGTTGGCTTGAATATCTCTCCCAACTTGTTTTGCACTTACAGCAAGGACATTCTGATGGCCAATTCATGATGGGATGGCGAACTGTCAAGGTTAAAATAGTCTTGTGAAGCTGTACATCTAAAATTTATTTGAATAAAGATGCATGTTCATGTATGATATACTTTACATGTGTTAAGCACATGTAATCATTCCTCCTTAGGCCGGACTTGCATCATTCTGGTTTTGCACTCTACAAACTGAAATTTTGGATGGGCAATCCCCTAAGTAATTGCAATATCAACTTACCAACATTAATTATATCACCAGCTGAATTGATGCCCTGGCATGGGGTGAGTTTTTTAAGACGTTTTTCAGTGTAGAAGAGTCTGTCATGAAGTGGTGCAGCTGAATGGATTACATCATCACAAACAAAACATAAATGTTTTCTGCCTTTACACTGCTTACAAATTATTGATGCTTCTCTTTCATTGCAATAATGACAAACAGCTCCTTTCTCAATATACTGTGAATGGATCAAGCTCTCTACCAATTCTTGTCTGACATTTTCCCATTTTGTTAAGGCTGCATCATTCCTCTCAAACCAAGTTTGTCTTTGACTTCTATTCTCCTTTGATGAACCCTCAAGTTCACTAATCAGAAGATCACAACTTTCGAGAATTGCATCAATTTCTGTTGACAAAAAAATCATTTCAATCAGAAAAATTGATACCCATACACTTCTTTGTACTTAATAGAAGCTATGCCATAAAGTACATGTCTTTATCATGAAAAAATTACTAGTATTTCATATGGCTCAAAAATTGTAATCACAATGTAAACAATTTTTGTCATGCTTATATGCAGAAGACTTGCAGTGTTCCAGATAATTCATCTAGCAGTTTTGGAATTGATATACACACAAACAAAACAACCGCTATTGTGTAGACAGAAGGAGTTTGTTTTCTCTCTTGGACTCCATTGGTAATTTTCTATAGGCATGCAGCACTGTTTGGCCAACTTTGCCAGTCATGTGCTTGCGTTTCTCTGACATCCACAACTGGGTATATATTTTCCATTGTGTTCTTTCTGACCCTTATTCTGATGTTTTATACTCTGAGGGAGGAGTGTCAGATAAAAAGCTTGAAGTATTATGTTGTGAATTGTCTGCTTTTTTCAAAGCCATTTACACTTATATCTAACAGAAAACTTTTTAAAAAAAGAGAGACAAATTTACCAATATTTGTATTTGGAGCTACTTGAGCAGCAACCTCAGTTTCAGGATCTCTAGCATCCAAGTCATCATGGGAACCACTTTCAGGCCATGCTAGGAATAATTTTGCTTGTCAAATCGAGGCAATAGCGTTGTACTTATAGAATAACAAAGTATTGGTTTTGACAGTAAAAAAATCTGTAATCTAGCCCATTTTAAATTTTAAATAATCTTTAAAAACAGCATTAGTTTATCTATCTATTCTAGAAGTACATATCTAGATATGTCAATACTAAAGTCTACTGACTCAGATGAAGTCTACTGTTCTATGATAATGACTCAATATGTATCTTGTAACATTGGTATAATCCTGGTGATTTCACAAGAAATCTAGCAACTCAATAAAAAACCTTCCAGAAAGAAATATATTAATACTAGTAGAATAATGAGTTAAAAACTGCATATACTGCACCTGTGACATTTTCAGATAAGTTACAAAGATCCTTTGTCACTCCATGGTTTATTTTCTTTTTCTTCACATTCTGTCTTTTAGCACTTTTTCCAGACTTGTAGCCATATGAACTTATACGAAATATTTCCTTTTTTGGAATCTTCTTCTTAGCATTTGGAACTTTGAGAGACTTGGTTAGTTTATCAATATCCTTAAGCAAGTCATCAACTGTTTGGACACCTCCATTCGCATTTCTCTTCTTTGTCTTTCCTAACATGATATATATCTATACTAAATTTCGAATATTGCTATCAGCAAGATTCATCGAAAACAACTAATGTTTTACAGGCAAGAAAATAATAGGGGGCAATGTCCCCAAAAAGTTTGAAAAATCTAATTATAGTTTGAAAACTAAACAGTTTACTTGGATTTTTACTTGGATAAAAAGACAAAACCTGTGAATTTTATATTTTAGGAATTTATGGATTTTAAATGTAAAACATTTAAACCTTATTAAAATTCACAGGGTGGAGCGGAACCATCCACTAATTGTATTTTCTGTAAAGCCCTGTATCCACTGGATCTTGCACCATTACACTGTTTTTTTCTTTATGACAAGAGATTAGTTGAATCAATTTTTTTGAACAGGCAAGGGGATTTTCAGATAAGAAACTTGAAAATTTCAAATTACTATTGAGCCTACAGTTTTAAAAATACAATACCTTTTGTTGATCAAAAAAATTTAAGTGGGAGTTTTTGAAGAAAATTCAATAAAAACTTTAGAATCTTTCAGTAATAAAACCTTTCAGTATCTTACAGCTTGTTTTAAAAAACCAGTGTATGCTATGCTCCCCCAGTTGTTTGCAAATTTCCTTAACTCCTTATCATAAATTTCTATAATAAAGCTACTGAGAAGCTAGAAAGCATTTCAGAAGTTGCAGCAGAAGTACTTGGGCAAAAAAAGCGTTTCATCTTACAAATCAGGCATAGGCACTTGCTCTTAAATATCACAAAATAGATATTTTGAATAAAATTGATCTACAGCGAATAGCTTTAAAAAGGGCAAAGCAAAAAACAAGAATGCTGTTAATTGACTTGAAAGGATGTTGCTCTTTATCATTAAATATCTCCAATATATCCAATATCCAATACTGGTTAACCCAGAGTACCAGAGCTGCAATTTTTGATCATGCTTAGATGTTGCTTTAGTTCTTGCTACAAGTTTAAATGTTCATGTTACATTAATGGACTTTCTTTAGTGTTTTTATGGCCCTAGAGGCACTGAACAAGATTTTAGGAAGAACTTCTGACACACTTAATCTCTATTGTTCATAGAGAAAAGGAATTTAGCCTGTTAGTAAACAATGCTGACTTTCCATTTTGCCCACCCAAATTGCTGAGCTCTGGAAAACAGGGAGATGATTAGCAATTAACCCCTTTTCACTGGGGCTACAGAATACCCAAAGTCAAATCATTCTTTGTTTTAAACAACATTACATTAGCCTAACAGCAAACAACCACTTCACAAATGAACTGCAGCCTGCTCCAATTTCCAAGCAGAAATCTGATCATCTTTGTCAAACTTGAAAAAGGGTTCTCAATTTTCAGATATTAACAAAGATGATGAGTTCAATGTCAGATTTCAGTGTATCTAGGGCCTCTGTTTAAGGCTTATTATCATGAGTAAAATGTTGGTAATTACAAAGAAACTGGAAATCTGGATTTAGGGCTACTTCCAAACATGGTAGGTACAGTATACTTACAGGTCGAAAGAAAAATTCCTCAGGTAAAGTTAGAATTTTGATCCTTTCACAATCCCCCAAAATAAGCCACTTGTTGCCATCCCTGGTGTTTTATGATGTGGTCGTGCTGTCTTAATGGGGGCTTGGGCTATAAGAATTTGTTTTCTCAAAATTTTTGCTTATTGTAAAGACTTTCAAACTGATTTCGCCTAATCATCTGGGTTTAACTGTTTGATCTACATCTAAATTCCTAATTTCTCATTTCACTCTAGACGCAAGAGGTCCAGCCTAGCCATTTTCAGAGTTTCCAGTCAACCCCCCCCCCCCCCCCCCCCATCAATTTTTTTCAGAAATAGATATCAAGTGTCTATTTGCTAATAGCAGACCTGCCCCTTTTGCCTTTATATTCCTGCCTCCCCTACTTTTGAAATGCTTCCATCGACTTTATTACGGCAATCCTAATGTTTTCTTGGATTGCAAACTCAGCAGAGGGGCCTAAAGACAAGCAACATCCGCTTTATTCTTTATTGCAAAGGCAAATTTTGTATTTTTGTATAATTGTATTTTGTTTCTACCTAGCACCCGAAGGTAGTTTTTAGGACAATAAGAAGCTTATGTTTATCGAACAATGTCCTGGTTCTTCCTCGCGATGTGACCACATTCGTGATTAGGCCTAGCGCCTGGAATTACAAATCGCCAGTGGACGGCTTCAAAAAATGATTAACCATTTAACTGAACAGCTTACCCTGTTCAAAATCTTTGTTGGTGCAACTTTGTGGACATGAATTGTTTGTTTCTCCAGTTTGTTCAGCGTTAATCATTATGATCGCCCATTTGAGGTTTAAATGGCGACCCTGTTTTCAAAAGATTTGGCGCATTTTATTTCCCGCCTTTCCAGCATTATCAATATAATGCACAACAGGAGGCTATTGTCACTCTTTACTATCGACTACAAATTACACCACATGTATTTTTCACGCTATTATGTAGAATTACAATGTGTGTAATTTCTACGTACGAGGTCAAGTTGCTCATATGGCAAACTGTTGAGAGTTACAGCTCTTGTGCTTAGGTTTAAAAGTTGCCTCAAGGAGAAGAAAAGGCCAGATACTCAAATGTTGCGTGTAGAAGAGATTCAGGAGGCAAAAGAATTGTGGATAAAAGATACACAAGTGATGGTGAAAGGAAGAAATAGTTACTCTCAAATAAAGACACAGCTTGCAGTGATAGAAATCAATGGAATCTTACACTGCCAAGGACGTCTTCAAAACACAACACTACCAGTTGAAAGCAAGTTTCCAATACTGTTACCCCAGGATAGCAGATTTACAAGTTTGCTAATTTCAGAGTGTCACAAGCGTACACGACACGGGGGAGTAAATACAACATTAGCGGAAGTCAGAAGCAAGTTTTGGGTCTTAAAGGGACGCCAGGCTGTAAAGCAACAATTACGTCAATGTATGGTTTGCAATAAGCGAAATGCAAAGACATGTGCACCACCTCAATCTGGACAGCTACCAGCAGAGAGGGTGGTTCGAGGCAACCCGTTTAGTACAACCGGAGTTGACTTTGCAGGACCTATATATTTGAAGAATGAAGAGAAGGCATATGTTGCACTATTCACATGCGGCATAACCCGTGCAGTACACTTAGAGCTCACAGAAGATATGACAGCCAATGAATTTAGAGGAATGTTTCGAAGATTCATCAGCAGACGTGGAGCACTTGCTACAGTAATAAGTGACAATGCAAAAACATTCCTTGCCACTGCAAAGCACTTGAAGAAGATATGTGTAGAGCAAGAATTGCAAGAATTTTTGTTGGCCAACCGCATTGATTGGCATTTCAATGTAGCTAAGGCACCGTGGCAAGGCGGCTTCTTTGAAAGATTAGTTGGAATAACCAAGACAAGACATTATTCAAGACCATGGGAAAGGCAAAACTAACCTTTAGAGAGCTGAAAAACATGTTGATTGAAGTTGAAGGAATGATAAATAATTGACCACTTACCTATCAAACATCAGATTTAGAGGAAGAGCCCCTCACTCCAAATCATATAGGAGATGTCAAGCATGACAACGATGCAGATTTTGATGACAAGAACGTGAACAAGAGAAAGAAGTTCTTGAGAGCTAAGCAAAGCATATATGCAATAGATGGTCAAAGGAGTATCTTTTAGGTCTTCGCGAATATCATCGCACGACTAAAGGAGGAGAAGCATTACCAGAGCTTGGAATTTTGGTATTGATCATAGACACTACCATTGAACGACGTTTCTGGAAGTTAGCCAAAATCTCCAGTTACATAAAAGGAAGAGATGATGTAGTTCGAGCAGTAAGATTAGATGCGGTATCTCAAGGGCGGAAGATTGTAATGGAAAGACCACTTCAAGGAATATGCCCCTTAGAGATAAAAGCACAAGTAGAAGAGCAATATACTCAGGAAGAGCAAGTTCAGGCAAAAGAAGTCAAGCCAAGAAGAGTAGCAGCTTTTGCAGCTG